TCCCTATTTTATTGTTTTCTTTATATTTTTCTTGTTTGATGACTTGTATATCGATAATGCACTTTCTTTTCTTCCTTCTTTTTTTTCGTTATTATTAAACGTTATTAGCATATTTCTTCTCCTCTTCTTCAAAATCAAGTTTCTCCTCACCTCATGATTCAATAGGAAGTAACATGAATGATTAAAAACATGAAAAAGATTCAAAGAGCCGGAKAATTATGTTTATTTTCATCAATAATGCTGTGAATGAGTCCATTCTTTCATAAATGTTGTTAAATATTTCATAATGATTATCTGTATCCAGATTATTAACTCTATTCCTATAACGCGGAAACCACAAAACAGTCAGAACGAGCCAAAATTTACACATGCAAACAACATACTAAACAATTTGRAAAGGGTTGGTGCAAGTCGTCGCCAGGTCGACTTCAAGTTTCTCAGGGCGTGCTGCTAACGTTTATTGATAAAGTACATCAATGCAAGCTCCTATCTATAGACATCTCCGGGCATCGTCAACAACAAGTAAGATCTTCCATATTGCTTGCTAATGTCGTCAATAGAAATCTTCAGCGAACCAGGATCAAACCGTTAAGTGAAATCACAAACTCTGCACCAGACTACAAGTTTTCAATTGACGAGCAAAGCAACAAGAATGCCTGTTACTATGGTGATAACGTTCATCATAGCACTTTCTGATTGGCCACCTTTGGGAGGGGTTGTTGTGGTCGAGGTATGTGGTGTGTTACATAAGTTACCAATACAACAGTCTGACTTGCAGGTAAGCAAAATACCGGTCGAGTTTAGAGTYTYACAGATCTCACTACAATGTTTGGCTATTGTAGACGCACATTGCCTCGTTTCCAGCTCAACTACTGCCCCCGTCTTTGGGTATCGAGCAGTTGATGTGATTGTGATACATCGATCATTCAACTTTGATCCGCATTCCTGTAAAGGAAATACGAGTCAGAGTTTTAGTTTCACACTCTCACATTAAGTCTGTCTGTCCATCTCACCTGTTTGGCAGGGTCGTCACAGCTTGTGGTATTGCTGGTTTCATTCCTCGACAGGCTTGTCTCACACACGTAACACGTAAGATCTGCTCCTGTGAAAAAAAAACATACATCATTGTATCATGTGTCCACACTATAGAGATGTTCGCTCTATTAGTTCTGATTAGTCTTTCACTGCAGAGGCGTCAAAAGAGTAATGAATCAAAGCAAAAAACTAACCAGATRGAACTTTAGTAGCATTAGTTGTTGTTGTTGTTGCTGGTGGTGACTTTGAAGTAGATTTTTCTTCATTGCACAGGTCACTGTTACAACATTCTATATYACAATGAGTGGCTGTTGTTGTATTCTTGAGACTGGAGCATCTCTGAGATATCACGGCTTCATTGCAATCTGCCTTCAAGGTACAATTCTGAGTGACTTGAGTAGTATTACCAAAACCCTTCATTGTCATGGATTGCGTCATGCAAAGTTGGTCTGGTCCACATATCTTTTCTTGGAGCTCTTTACTACAATTTTCATGACCAGGAAAAATGTTRCATTGTGATTCGTAACACTTTAGTCCATAACCTGCAGAAACCATACCATTATCTATGTGTATATAATTCGCATTTCAATCAATGGAACAATAACAGATCCATGCCAAAAGAATGTCAAAACACCGCCTTGCCGGTAAGCTGTCTCGACTCGTCCAATAAAACATATAGTTTAGCTTCTAACTCTTTAGAACAAAACTCATTGACAATTTCCTTTAGTTATTGCAATATTTGTATGTTGCATTGAAAGAAAAACACACCATCTCACCCTGATCTTCATTGAATTGGAAAAAATAATGTTTAAACGTGTAAAAATAGAAAAACTGCGAGCTTTCGCTTTGCAACCTTTTTGTAAAAGTTGAAAAAGCAACGACGAAGAATTTTAAATCTGATTTCAGCTAAATAGATAAAAAGRAAACCTTTCGATTGCTTAGTCATGTTCACATATGAATAATTTGGGTGTTTTTTATCTATTCACGCTGTGCAACCAATCAACGAGAGCGCATTGGCTAACCAACACACCATATTAAGATGATAAAACGTAATCTGATCATTCACTTCGATCAATATACATGACCATATGACATGGAATATGCCAAACACTATTTTGTTCACTGAAGTAAGTTCGAAAGTTGAMTTGTCCTWCATGTGGGAAGAGCTGTCCACGTTGACATTTCATGCAAATAATATTTCGATAAATGAGAATAATAGGCTGAATAAAAGTAATTGGTTCGATYCGAAAGCACAGGAGTTGAGCTCAGCCCACCTACACATGTTTTAATCCAAATAACAAGGGATCTGTGGATCGGAGYAGTCTGTTCACTATATAATTGAACCATTGTCTCGACTAAGGTCTAAAATGAAGAAACAAGTCGAAAGGTTTAACCAAATAGAACGCATCACTTTGAGTTTCACTATATTGAGCTAGTTGTCTTGAATCTAGAGATTACAGGCAAAGTTACCTGCTATTGTAAGTGAAAAATCAATGCATCCGACTACTGTCTGAATTTGTCATACCTGACTGAAAGGCAGCGAGAAACACCACCAGCACGATAAGAGACGTCATGACTGAACAGCGAACATCAGAGAATGATCTCAGTTGAAGAAGGCTGAACTAGTTGACAGACACTTGACTATCAATATTGATGGACAACACCCTAGCATACAGTGTCTTGTTATTACCATAATTGAAAGAGGATATCGACTTGGTATTACCATATATTGACAGGCATCCACTTACTATTATCASTTATCATATATTTATCTATAAAATACCTATATTTCTCCATTACGTAAATTTGTTATTTTCACTAAAACTCGATCCTTATTGAGAGCAACAAGAAACTTGAAATGCTTAAATACATAAGAATAATTCCAATTCATTGACAATTTGTCGGCTTTTCAAATAGAAGCACTAAAAGATCGCAAGAAATATTAGTTTGGAATAGTCAATAGTGAATACAACACAAGCTGATAAACGGAAAACTCCTTAATGCAATTGAGWGYAAARAACTATTTTGAAWTGTYCTGATTAACAATTCATGACAAAATCATGGTTTATGTGCATAGGCAAACACTCATGTTGAGGTGTCGATGGTTTGAAAGCGTCAAGCAATTCAGACTTGAATTGATATTATAACAGAAATGACCATGTGTTATTTGATGAAGATACATTTTAATGGCTTAAATTAAGTATAATATACAATTCGTTCTTAGTTAGCTATAGTTCCGATTTTCATTATTTTATGCCAAGCATGAATTTATATATCAATACTGTTAATTTTCAATTTTGGGAAAATATTGGCAAATACATTTGCTTTAGGTCTTGCTGCTGAAATTGGAAGGTTTCTTGTGGTGTTGACATTGCACTGAGTTGTTTCAGTGTCTGGTTGAGTTGTTTTCGTTGGCTTTTCAGTGGTTAGTTTCCACTGGTAGTAGTTTGTTCTGGTCTACCAGTGGTAGTTTGTTCTGGTCTACCAGTGGTAGTTTGGTCTGGTTTCTCAGTGGTAGTTTGTTCTGGTCTACCAGTGGTAGTTTTATCTGGTTTCTCAGTGGTAGTTTGTTCTGGTCTACCAGTGGTGGTAGTTTGTTCTGGTCTACCAGTGGTAGTTTGTTCTGGTCTACCAGTGGTAGTTTKWTCTGGTTTCTCAGTGGTAGTTTGGTCTGGTTTAGCAGTTGTTTTTGGTTGCTGAGACGTTGTTTTGGGTGGCTGAGCAGTTGTTGTTGATGGCTGAGCAGTTGTTTTTGGTGGCTGAAACAAACAAGATAGCATATTTTACAAAAATCAGATCATTAGACTGTTCTCATTGATTACATAACTAACCGGTGAAGTTACTGGTAATGGTGTCGGCATATAAGGGCTAAGGGCAATGATTGGATAAGGGTATGGGTTTGGAGCAGGTGCAACWTTTCTGTATTTGTTGCAGCTGTGCAARCAGATTTCATGTATTTCTTGAGTGGTTGCACAATAACCCTCTTTAGCCCAAACTGGACAGCGAACATCTTGGTCCATCATTTYAGTTTCTAAAAGATTAAAGCCATTTAGTTGGTTTCAGTTTCTCGCTCCTTTATAATGCTAACACAGGGCACTAATGGGGAAGTACCTGGTCCGCATAGCTCACATGTTTCCATGCAGTTTTGCAACATGAAGTCGGGTAGACGGATACAATCACCTTTTCCTTTCCAATATTTGCAGTTTGAACCTGCGAGATCTGTGCAATACTGCGGGTCGTATACTATGCAAAAACAAAATACATTTCAAGTGCACGATTAGAAAGAGAAGGAATTTGAGATGACATGAAGAAATTTTACTTGGAGGGCGTTTGCAGAATCTGCAACTCCATGGACAGTTGGCAAGTGCATCGTCCAATTTCTTTGTACATTCTCCATTTTCAGCGAGCTCACGACAATTCTTGTTATCTCTATCCAAACACTGCTCGGGTGGAATATTGACTGAAAGAAAATACCAACTGTCAGTCAATTTGATTGACACCAATGTACAGTGACATTTGACTAGTGATCTGCTTCAGATCAAGCTTGAGAGGAAATAAAAGTAATCCAGTACCTCATGTAAGTGTATTATTGATTAATACTTGATGTGGAACGTGGAATGTGAAAATTAGTTCAATGAATGCATGTCGGTACAAGCTAATGTGAATGAAATGAGGTAATCTTACATTTTTCCCATGGAAAATCCTCTTTTTGCTTTCCATGACGATCTATTAAACCAAAATACTATTGTTAACCAATGCGTGGTTCTTCTCGATTCGAAAACTGAGAAAGGAAGGAAGTTGACTGAAGGCGTAAAAATGATAATATGTAAAAAAAAAACCAGCAGCAACAGCAACAATTTTTTTAAGACGACTTGCGATTGCACAGTTCTCTCGAAGTTCTTTAAGACGTGTCATGACAGTCAAGATTAAAGCAATAGTGCTACCTTTTACCCAATGGGATTTGGTTTTGGATTCTCTTCCCTCAACGTCATCTCTTGATTTAATGCCTTTGTGTATCCGGATTTCTAGACCATAATACTTGATCGTTACTCCATATCATCAATGAATCACACTTGATGTCGATATAAGCCCCCCTCCTCCCCCCCAAATATATAATATCTCATGTACATTTCTTACCTTTTGAATTCAAAAGAGGAAATATTCCCACGATTAGAAGCGTAAATAAAAAAGAACCTTTGACCATCTGATAAAATATGAACATTACCATTGCATATTGTAGTATTGAAGAACACAACAATATTTTAGTATTTTATTGGTCGGGCTATAGCCATAGGCAATGACCATGGTATYATTTCTYTATTTTCCATTATGCACTATACTAGCTTGTCCGACTTCACGCTGTTACAGCGTCCAGTTAACATAGAGTCAACGATGTACCAACACAGATCAGATAATGTCGGTGATAATGACAAACAAAGTAGCACTTGTAAGTCATGACAGAAATAATAACATAATAAAAAGGTTATGAAACAAAGAAATAGAGAAGTCATTTGTTCAAAGTTTTGCTAATAGTTTTCAGTTTTACCTCGTGTTGAGTGTTCCACTGTTAAAAAAAGTTTTGTAATAAAGTACAGCTTAGTTGCATTTGACAGAATATCTGACAGCCATGACAAAAGATGAAGTCAGAATGAAATAAGAAACGTTCTGTTTGACAAGTGTCTACTTGTTCCACTCTACTGATTTAAATTATTATAAAAATTCCATAACAATTGAACGATTCCACATCATTGGACAAAAAAAATTAATGGYGTAAGTTGACTTTTTAGAGTGTCGTTATTATTCATTGGATGGAACCATATTTCCTTCATTGACCAAGAAACTTCTATTTTCTTCATCATCCGGTCATCTCCTCGGCTTATTGTCAGAATAGTCAGGATCGTCTCAAGTACAGTTAATATCTATCATCCCACTTAAGTGTAAGTAATGGAATAGTAAGCAGTATATTGARATTTGTCTTTATAAACTTACCAACAGAATACAAGCAATGATAACAAGGTATTTTCAACAYAACTTTATTTATAGTTCAGTTATTTTATCTTTTTAGCAAACTATTTTTTTATATCATTTTTCATTCATGTTTCTTATTATGACGATGTTTTTTGTGTTTATGACCTTTTTTCTCTTTGAATATCTTCTCAATAATATCATTAAAATCAAGGTCATCCTCCCTATCCTCATTATCATTGTTAACATTGAAAGGGTTTTCACTGATACCAACATCAATTTCATTTTCGCTGTTATCATCGACATCGTTGTTATCATCATCATCATCAGGCTTGCTGTTGTCGTTCTCGCTATCATCGACACCATTTCCACTTGAAATTGTCACAACTTGTGTTGTTGTGGATATAATTTCTTCTCCTTCACCGATAATTTGTTCCTCTTTGCTCTCCTTTTTTTCATTTACTGGAGTTCCAGTTGATATGCAAAGATGTATTTGTGTGGTTTCTGGAGTGGACGGTTTAGCCGATTCGGTAGTAGTTTTAACAGAAGTTGGCAATGCTGTTGGCTTAGTTACTGGCTGTGTACCTGGAAGTGCTTCTGTAGTGGATGGTTGTTCAGGTGGCATTGGTTGTACTACTGCTTGGCCACATGATGAGACCCCTGGCAATTGTTGTTCGGTCTTAGTTCCGAGGGATGGTTGTTGAGTTTCTGCCGGCTTTGTTACYAATTCAGGTGATARCTTAGACGCTGAATTGGTTTCGGATGATGATCGCGAAGGTTGCTCTGGTCCTGYTGCTGTTGGTGCCTGACTAGATGATTGTTCTGTCTCTTCTGGTGCTCCTTGACCGGATGATACAGRAGAWGTCGGCCGTCGTTCTGACACYGCATTGATGTCTGATGGACSCTTAGGTGGCATCGGTTGTTCTCCTTCTTCTTTGTAGGATGGTGGTGGGGGGTATTGTGGTTGCGAAGCGGGATAAGGATAAGGAGCAGGATATTGTGTTTGGGGATACTGTGGTGGGGGAGGAGGGGGATATTGTGGTTGAGCAGGCGGTGGTGGGGGAACGGGAGGGGGGTATTGTGGTGGTGGATATTGTGGTTGAGCAGGCGGTGGTGGTGGGACGGGAGGGGGATATTGTGGTGGGGGATATTGTGGTTGAGCAGGCGGTGGTGGGGGAACGGGAGGGGGATATTGTGGTGGTGGATACTGTGGCTGTGGTGGTGTTGGGAACATCGGAGGTTCTATTGGTTGTGGATACGGACGGGAGGGGGATATTGTGGTGGTGGATACTGTGGCTGTGGTGGTGTTGGGAACATCGGAGGTTCTATTGGTTGTGGATACGGATAAGGAACAGGTGTAGGGGCAACTGGATAAGAAGGAGTGACTGGAGCTGGATATGGGTACGGGTATCCTGGTGCCTAAAACAAAGCAAATAATTAGTAAATAACACTATAAAAAAACGCATCGCAAAAATGCTTTTACCGGAACAGGCCAAGGAAGTGGAGTAGGTTGGTATGGATGAGGAGCTTCTATTGGCTGAGGGAATGGCTCAGTTGCTGGTCTAACATCTTTGTTTTTCTCGCAACTATAAGGACATTTTAATTTGATGTCCACGTCAGTTGTGCAATAGCCATGTTCGGCCCATTGTGGACATCGGGTGTCCTGGTCTTCTTCATTACTTTCTAAAACGTCAATAAAGCACAAACGTTTTTATACTTTTTGTATAAAAGTCGTGGTATCCCTCATAATGTACATACCAGTTCCACACAATTTACAACTCTTCCTACAGTTCTGCAACATGTAGTCAGGTAACTTGATGCAATCTCCTTTACTTTCCCAAGGTTCACAGTTAACTTTGCCAGCCAAGTCCTCGCACTTCCTTTTGTCTGCAGACCATGGGTAACCTGTGGTGCATCAACATCGTTTGATATGTCAAACAGGACTTTTTTCTCTTAAGCAAACTATTTGCATCAAGTGCAAACATAGGATAATTTGGGGCAGTTATTGGGGATGGATTAGTATGAAACATACAGTCAAAGGAAACTCTTACTTACTCTTTAGACGAGCACAGAACCTGCAGCTCCAAGGACACATTTTCAACATTTTTTTAAATTCGGACTCACACTTCCCACTTTCAGTAAACGATTGGCATTCCTCGTTATAATCTTTACAATCCTTTGGGTCTATGTTGACTAAACAACAACAACAATTGCACTTGGAAGTGATCATATAGAGGGATGGAAATGGTAGTACGATTGTAACTGTCATTAGTAGTGTCACTGGTTAATGAAGTGGGAACGGTGTAAGTGTACTCACTTTTTTTCCAATCTATCCCTTTTGGGACTGAAAAATTCAAAAATCGTTGTTGTTGTGGACTTTTTTCACCATACTCTATGGAAAAATATATGTGTTTCAGTAATAGACACGTTCTTTATGCATTGAATGCTTGCCAAAAATGTACTATTTGGTTTAGTGGAGCCAATATTTAACCTCAGCTCAATGATGTTAGAGTCAATTTGCTGACTCTGAAGCAGTATAAGTTGCTTTTTAAAGCTTACGATGATAAGCAATAGTGAGTGTTTTTCTCTATAAAAAAATACAATATACACTCTCGTTTGCTTATTACTTTTATCAAGAGTATCTTCCTCAGTATTTTGCTGAATGGGCCGAGGTTGTTGAGGTTGAACGGGCTCCTTAGGTTGATCAGGCTGCTGGGGTTGATAAATTTGTTGAGGTTGAACGGCCTCCTTAGGTTGGTCAGGCTGCTGAGATTGATTTTGATTTTGCTGCTCTTCATTTTCTTCTTGCTGTTCGTTTTCTTCTTCTTCTTCTTCAGTATGTTGAGATTGAACTGGTTGAACAGAGTATTGAGGTTGATTAGGCTTCTTAGGTTGTTGAGATTGATCAGGTTGCTGAGGTTGAACAGCCTCCTTAGGTTGGTCAGGCTGCTGAGATTGATAAGGTTGTTGAGGTTGGACGGCCTCCTTGGGTTGATCAGGCTGCTTAGGTTGATCAGGCTGTTGAGATTGATAAGGTTGTTGGGGTTGAACAGCTTCCTGAGATTGAACAGCCTCCTTAGGTTGAACAGGCTGCTGGGGTTGATAAGGTTGTTGAGGTTGAACGGCCTCCTTTCGTTGATCAGGCTGATAAATTTGTTGAGGTTGAACGGCCTCCTTAGTTTGATCAGGCTGCTGAGGTTGATTAGGTTGTTGATTTTGATTTTGATTTTCTTCTTGTTGTTCGTTTTCTTCTTCTTCTTCTTCTTCTTCAGTATGTTGAGATTGAACTGGTTGAACAGAATATTGAGGTTGATTAGGCTTCTGCGGTTGATCAGGCTGCTTAGGTTGTTGAGATTGATCAGGTTGTTGAGCTTGAACGGACACCTTTCTTTGATCAGGCTGCTTAGATTGATTTTGATTTTGCTGCTCTTCATTTTCTTCTTGCTGTTCGTTTTCTTCTTCTTCTTCTTCTTCAGTATGTTGAGATTGAACTGGTTGAACAGAGTATTGAGGTTGATTAGGCTGCTTAGGTTGTTGAGATTGATCAGGTTGCTGAGGTTGAACAGACTCCTTAGGTTGATTAGGCTGTTGTGGTGTAGGTGCTGTTGTAGTTGCACTTGATTCACTTGGTTGCGCAGTGGTTTCCGTTGGTTTTTCTGTGGTTTGTCCTTGATTAGCAGTAGTTGTTTCTTCTGGTTTGGTCGTTGTTTGAGGTGGCTGGACAGTTGGTTGAGGAGCCTGTGTCTGGGGGAAAATAAGTTAAACCATGTTTAAMAAAAACATAAATTATTTTTTTCGTGTCTTTGAGGCTTACCGGTGGAGTCGTTGGTAGTGGTGTCGGCATATAGGGATGGAGTGCAATGATTGGGAAAGGGTATGGATTTGGAGCTGCTCCAACATCGCTGTATTTGGTGCAGCTGTACAAACAAACCGTACGTATTTCTTGATTTGTTGAACAATAGCCGTCTTTAGCCCAATCTGGACATCGAACGTCTTGGTCCATGGCTTGCGTTTCTAAAAGAAAAAAAAAACATGTCTTGTTCTATATCAAGTAATATTATAATTTGCAGAACTAAATATTCRGGAAAATGAGCGTCTTGTGAGTGTCCGTTGATTATATGCCACAACAACAGTCTATGTACCTGGTCCACACAGCTCACAAGCTTKCACGCAGTTTTGCAGCATGAAATCAGGAAGACGTATACAATCTCCTTTTTCTTTCCAATTTTTGCAGTTTGAACCTGCGAGATTTGTGCAATTCTGGGGATCGTACACTATGTAAAAACAAACTTTTGCTTTAGTGATCAATCATATAAAGTAAATGGTTTGATATGATATATCTAGACTACTTTACTTGGAGAACGTTTGCAGAATCTGCAACTCCATGGACAGTTCGCTAGTGCATCGTCAAATTTCTTTATACAATTTCCTTTTTTAGCGAGCGCACGACATTTCTTTTCATCTCTATCGAAACACTGCTCGGGTGAAATATTGACTGAAAGAAAATAAAAGCTGTCAGTCAATTCYATTCCATTGTTAATRTAATTAWYTTTAATGTAGTTMGTGCGTTTKCAGTGTTAGTACAAGTAAGAATACACCAGTGAAGTGACAAATCTGCCGCTATGCAGGTCTATGCGAACAGAAAAAATAGTATGTACCATATAAAGTTTATTATCGATTATTGAATATCTGTTGAATGACGAGATTTTGCCATATTGTGCACTGGATAATTTGATCAGTTCAATATAAAATTGAATGTACTACTCATTAGAGTCAAAGGGTATAGATAGTGTGCGGATGGCTCGAGTTGATCCATTCTTACTTTTTTCCCATGGAATACCGTCCTCTTTTCGGTTTGCTTGACGACCTAAGAAAGCAAAAAAATTTTTTTTTAACCAATCTTTTAAGCCCTCTAAAGAAAACTCAGAATGACAAGATGTCTGAAAACATTGCACTTCTTTGTACTAAGTATAAACAATAACTTTATGTTAATTAACCATTCAAGTACAATACAATACAAGTTTATTGTCCAGTGTTGGGCATGGTTACCCAGTTGCCTGAGCCAGAGGYTCATGTATAAAAACTCAAGACTAAATAATAACAAATAGAAACTGCAAAAATATGAATCAGTAAATTAAATAGAAGAAATTATGTTCACTAACTTATAGGGTTGTTGATATTTCAAATCTAAACCTTTAAGTTATAATTAAAACTATAGATTGTGCTTGGATAACCTTTAATAAACAAAATTTCAAAGTCTTTGAATGATTTTAATCTGTTGTGATCTGAAATTACTCATAATGCACTCGATTAATGATATCTGTAATTAGCGGTCATTAGCGGTTTGCATGTGACTGTATTGATAGAATTTTATACATAAGAGTAAATAATAATAATTAAAAACTACAAAAGTGAGCTATAAGCAGGAATTACATTTGCAGCTGGATCGGAATCGAGAGACTTTATGATAAATTCATACCCTGGTAGCCGCTTGGCGGCTCGATAACATGGTATGCAAAAGAATAAAAGACAGGCCTCTGGAACTAGGGTAATATAAATTCACTAAGTTTAGTTAATTCTTTAATTCCTGTGGAATTGTAAGTTATCACCCCCCCCCCCCCCCCTCATTCCTCAAATTATATCTTGTTTGGCGTTTCTGGAAAATCAGTGATTCTTCGAACTGAGTGTAGTTCTTGGGAACATAATTAAGACAAAAAGCTCTGATTAGTCATAAAGAGATCACTTTTATTTTACCTTTTACCCAATGGAATTTGGTTTTTAATTCTCTTCCATCACCGTCATTTTTTGATTTGATGCCCTTGTGTCTCCTGATTTCTAGACCATAATATTTGATCGTTACTCCATATCATCAATGCGGAATCATACTTGATGTTGATGTAAAATATCTCATGTAAATTTCTTACCTTTTGAATTCAAAAGAGGAGATAGTCCCACGATTAGAAGCGCAAATGCGAAAGAATTCCCAAACATCTGGTAAAACAGTAATGAATATGGATATTTCATATCATGGTATTGCGTGAAATAACAATACTAACATTATTAAGAGCTGTATGAATTTAACAATCACAGCTAAATACGAAATAACTATATAATGTTATCAAATGAGAAAACATAATTAATCACTCTAACTTCAAAAAGGTATAAAATACGTACATGACTGGCCAACTAAATATGTTTGTTCAAAACAGCACAAATATTACGGACAATATGTCTATATATCATTGTTTATTTTAAGGTACKCGACTTTCTCAAAATATTCATCATTTTTTACTTATCTTAACATCAAAACCTAGGGTTGCWTGAAATCTTAAACTTACTTTTTGTCTTGGGAAATTCTGATCGTGTTCATTTGCCGTTCGGTAAAAGATTCATTAGTTCAATTCTTTCATGTGTACTGCAGGTTGTCCTATTCAGTTTTGCATGCTTTTTGACTTTTTGTCATTCAATTCAAATAATTAAAAAAAACCTCCTTATCATTGCTCGGTTCGACTGGCATTTGATTGCATTTTGAATTTTAACATCTTTTTGGTTTCCATGCCATCACAAACCTTTTACGACATTTTTCTACTTAAGGAATTCAATGGAATCTTGAATGAAGAGCTTTATTAACTCAAATTTATAATTACCTAAACAACATAATAAAGATTTCTTTTTAACAATTTATCAAGTTATTTATTGTTGCAACATCTCTTAATTATTTTGACGATGGGTTTTGTGCTTAGACTCCTTCTCTTCTCTGAATTTYTTTTCATCAATATCATTGTCACCAAGACCATCATCGGGCTCGCTTTCATCATTATCACTATCATCACCACTTCCACTTGTGATCGTTTGTTTATATCCTTCATCGACATCTTCTTCGCTTTCTTCCTGATTTTCCTCTTGACTAGAGGATTCAGTAGTCGATTCATCTGGAACTGGCTTTGTTAATGCTTCAGAGGATGGCTTCCTAACTGATGGTGGTGGTGGCGGCGGCGGCGGGCGATGTGCTGCTGATTCCTTGTATGGTGGTGGTGGTGGCGGTGCTGGAGCAGGATAGGGTTGTTCAGGTGCTGGTGCAGGATAAGGAGCAGGTTCAGGTGCTGGTGCTGGTGCAGGGTAAGGTGGTCCCGGTGCTGGTGCTGGTGCAGGGTAAGGTGGTBCCGGTGCTGGTGCTGGTGCAGGGTAAGGTGGTYCCGGTGCTGGTGCTGGTGCAGGGTAAGGTGGTYCMGGTGCWGGWGCWGGWKMAGGRTAWGGTGGTCCCGGTGCAGGAGCAGGATAAGGATATGGTGGTTCAGGTGCAGGAGCAGGATAAGGTGGTGGTTGAGGTGCTGGTGCAGGATACGGATATGGTTCAGGCGCAGGAGCCGGATAGGGATAAGGATAAGGACTAGGTGCTGGGGCTGGATATGGGTAAGGATAACCTTCTGGTGGTGCCTGAAACAAAAAGATATATCATAACTTGTAACTTCAAGATAATGCAGCACATTCTTGTTGCATTATTACCGGGATTGGCCAAGGAACTGGATTCGGCATGTATGGATATGGAGCTTGTATTGGTTGGGGGTAAGGCTCCGGCGCCGGTTGCTGATTTTTGTATACTTCACAATTATAGGGACATTTTGACTTGATTGCTTCATCAGTGGCACAGTACCCATGCTCGGCCCATTGTGGACAACGGGGATCCGTATCTGCATTTGTGGTTTCTAGAAGAAAAAGCATTAAATTCCAATCCTTTCTTAGCATTAATTTTCTTGTTTTCCATTTTTACGATAAGAACATACCAGGTCCACACATTTTGCAAGTCTTTTTACAGTTCTGCACCATGTAGTCAGGAAGTCTTAAGCAATCTCCCTGCGCGTTATAGCTAGCACACTTTTCCTCTCCAGCCAAGTCTTGGCATTTGTCGTCGTTGCTCTCTATGAGATAATTCAAATTATGAATATTACACTTCAAAAAGAAATGAAGAAAACATGTTTTCTTCATGTTATCTCGAAGTAGAGTTTTATTGTCTTGAAAATGATCGGATATCATTTTTACCTTTTGGAGTAGCACAGAATCGGCAACTCAAAGGACACTCTTCATAGGCTTTTTTGAAGCTTTTAAGGCATTTTCCATCACCAGCAAACGACTCACATTCTTTGTCGGAATCTTTACAGTCTGCGGGGGCTATGTGAACTAAAGAAACCATAGCAAGTAATGATAATCAACTTATGTGTTCCTTAGTATTGAATAGCTAGTCACTATTGTTAGCATAGTAACTACTGATATCAATGATTTARCCCCCAGCACTTACTTTTTTTCCCACGGAACACTTTTGGAACTGAAAAGTCCAGGAATCGCTGTCGGCGACTATGACGATGSTCTGTTTAATTGAATTTGAATTGAGTAAAAAATATGTCTAACATTTTCTTTCTCATTAAATGTCAATAACTTATTATATATATCACCTAGATTATTGAGCGTCTTACTTTTGTCAAGAGTATCTTCTTCATTCTTTCGCATTACAGGGCGCGGCTGCTGCTTCTTCTGATGATTGTCAAGACCGACCTTCACAGGTTGAACTGGTTCAGGTAAAGGTGTTGTTGCGGGTTGTGGATTGACTGGTGCTGGCGCTATAGTCTCCACTGGTGCTGCGGTGGTTTCCAATGGTGCAAGTGTCTCAACTGGTGCAGCCGTAGTTTCCACTGGAGCTGATGTCTCCACTGGTGCTGTGGTTGTTTCCACTGGAGCTGCTGTCTCCACTGGTGCTGTGGTTGTTTCCACTGGAGCTGCTGTCTCCACTGGTGCTGTGGTTGTTTCCACTGGAGCTGCTGTCTCCACTGGTGCAGCCGTGGTTTCCACTGGTGCTGCTGTCTCCACTGGTGCTACAGTGCTTTCTATTGGAGCTGGAGTCTCAACTGGTGCTGGAGTGGTTTTTACTGGTGCTGGAGTGGTTTTTACTGGTGCTGGAGTCTCCACTGCTAATGGAGTGGTTTCCTCTGGAGCTGCAGTTGTTTCCACTGGAGCTGGAGTYTCGACTGGYGCAGGAGTGGTTTCCTCTGGAGCTGCGGTTGTTTCCACTGGAGCTGGAGTGTCCACTGGTGCTGGAGTGGTCTCCACTGGTGCTGCGGTGGTTTCCACTGGAGCTGGAGTATCAACTGGTACAGGAGTTGTCTCCACTGGTGGTTGAGTGATTGGTGAAGCAGTTGTTTGAGGTGCTTGTGTCTAATATAAATAAAAACATTTGAGTATAATTAAGAACATTAATACAACTATTTGATTGTGCAACTAACCGGTGGAGGTGTTGGTGGTAATGGTGTCGGCATATACGGATAAAGCGCTATGATTGGGTATGGATAAGGGTCRGTCGCTGTTGGAACACCTTTGTATTTGGAGCAGCTGTACATACAACGTCGTTGGATTTTAGGATTATCAGGACAATATCCCATTTTACCCCAGAATGGACAGCGYACATCATTGTCTACGTTCTCAGAATCTAAATAAGAAAATACAAGATCCAAATACAATGAACAGGTTTGGTTTAACAATGAAGCACATTTCTCAACAATGATAATTGGGTATCGACGACGGAAATAAAAATCGAAGTTTCTAAATTAATTTAAGGCAATGTTGCTTATGTGTACCTGGGTGGCAAAGTTCGCACGATATTTTACAATTTTGAAACATGAAGTCCGGAAGACGCGTGCAGTCGCCGTCTTTTTTCCAGGTTTTGCATGAGCTTGTGTCTGCAAGGTCCTCACACGTCTCAGGGTCGTACTCTATGGGATAGCAAGAATAATAGATATGTATAACTCAATCTCTCTYTCTCTCTTTGATAAGTCTTCCTGTCTAATAGATGTTAACATATCAAATGTAACTAGCGTTGGAAATAAAAAAAAGATCTCACTTTCTGGACGTTTACAGAATCGACAAGTCCATGGACAATTGACAAGTGTATGACCCAGTTTCTTCAGACATAATCCTTCTTTAGCGATTCCACGACATTCTTCGTTATCCTCATCAAAGCATTTCTCTGGGGGGATATTTTTCACTATGAGRAAAGAAAACTACTCCAGTTTTGAATTCAAAGCGGATAACCACTGTTTTATTCTATAACACTGAGATTCAAAAAAATCTTTTTGGGATTACAGGGCTAGCCTCAAATGGGAAGAATGCAAATTGTGGGCGTTATGATAATCATGCAACATTTTCTTGTGCTTTGTTGAGTATTTGGAAACATTGCGCAAGAGAATGTGTTGTCAAATAAAACAGGCGTTATTTCCTTTGAATTCGAAAATGAAGTATTAATTTGTCGGCAGTAAATACAAAATTACAAAATTGTCGATGTCTGAAGAGCGCATGATCAGGAACCCATTCAAGACAATACAACAAAGTATTGAAGATGACTAACGTAAATCTTACATAGTTCCCATTGGACATCGTACTCTTTTTTCTTGCGATGATGATCTATAAAGGTAAGAAAGCGCTTTTAAAACACTTTTCCTCARCAGAAAATGGGAAATTGGCTGATGCAAAAGGATTCTTTTCCATAGATACTGGAAGTGCTGTTTAACAAGGTTTGTGAAGAAAAAAAACGAATTGATTGCAATAGTTACAGAAAATGATTAATGAGTTACAAGASAAGACAAACGATAGCYACATCCACAGAGAGCTCAGAATTTACTGGTCTATAGTTTGATATCTACTCAGCTTGTTTGTAAATATCTGGCTGCTTGCAAATTCCAAAACTTTTTTAATTGCAATGTTATATTCTTTGTCACCCCTATTTTTCTTAGCAAAGCGTTTAGATACTTTCGGTTAAGTGTCCTTGAATTTACTTTGGGATATTTCAGCTACAATGAAATATAATTCTGATCATGCAATTAATTACTATTAAAGTCTATTACATAYTAGTTAGGTTATCAAATATCAAAGTATTCCAACATCACATAAGTCATCAAATTAGCAAAAGACATGCGTGTAATATTATATAGAACTCTTGTAATCGTTTGAATATCACAAGAGTTAACCTCTATTTATGAAGTGATATGACAAATATTGATTTATGCTTTTTTTGTTCCAAAAAATGTTAGATGCAAATGTGAATCATTAATTTGTCTTGACGTTTAGAATTCATGAATATATACAATAGAATATCAATAGGAATTACCCTTTTTCCAGTCGAATTTTGTTTTTATTTTTCTTCCTTTGTCGTCATCTTCAAATTTTATCCCTTTGTGTCTTTTGATTTCTAAACCATAATGAATAATCATTACATCATAATTAGCCAGTTTGTTATAAACATTTATACATCGCCATATCGAGACTCTATGGGGTGAGGGATTACGKTTTACATGCGTATTGCCATATATACAAAAACATCGAAGCAGTTCAAAAACTGCGAGATAGAAGAATTACAAGATATAATAAGTAAAGATAGAGATGATAAGATAACATATCAGCATTAGCCATCTTACCTTTGCAATTTGAAAGTGAAACAAACACGATGATGAAAAGCGCAAAAATCAAAGACTTTTCAACCATCTGTAAAAATAAGCGCCATTGAAATGACAATGATATGAATCTTGATATGGTACCTGAGTCATATTATATTTGTCTGAAATTGGCATGCAATGTCTATAAACTTCTAAAAACACTTGTAGGCTAGATATTATTGAATGGTTGAGTCAATGTCATTTAAGAAATCAATTGCACGTTTTGATATGTGACATTTAGATAACTGTRAATGTATTTCATGGTTGTTTATGTTGTTTAAAGTAGCACTTTCAAAAATATTTATCTATGTTTCCTTTATAAGGTATCAGAAGCAATTCCTGGAGTTAGTCCTGTTCTTAAACTTACCTTTGTCTTGGGAAATCCTCGCCGTAGAAAGGGAAGATAGCCCAGTGCAGGAGTTAGCTGCGAGTGTTTTGTGATTGAAAGGATTCACCACTCGGTAAAAAATTCATTATTTTATTCATGTGTGCTGCAGGTTATGCTGTTCAATTAACATGGTTTCTATTCTTTGCCAATGAACCTTGATAATCGACAGTCCCAGTATTGTCACCTTGTTAGACTAATTATCATTCAAACCTTTTCCTTTTTTTGCTACAAATAACTTTAAACACACCGAATGACAAAATAGACCTGAGTCATTTTGGAAGAGATATCTATCACAGACACTCATTGCTTTTTTCCCATAAGATCAGGTAGTATATTTTTTAAATTCAATTCTACTTGATAAACTCAACTAATGACGATAAACAAATTGCTAAGGAGTGCAATTTGTGTAGAGTATTAAGATCGTTATGTTTTAAAGCAAACGTCGGCTCCATTAGCATCTACATATTTGTTGATGCCCTCACTTAGAATGTCATGACTGATTAGTGACACGCAGCATAAGACAATAAAAAAACATGCTATCAATTAAAATGTCATCTTGAATCATTAAGATGAATTATAAATAATACCGATCTATAGGCAAATAAAACTGTTTTAATGGAGTAGATGGCTGCTTTAGATTACTTTGATGACAGTAGTAATTTAGTCTTTTACAATTTTTCCTTTGTCTTTTTTTTGCAAGTTTGTTTTCCTTTGTCTTTTTTTTTGCAAGTTTGTTACCTGTGTCTGAAACGATAACCGGAMGTGAGGTGGATATGCAACGTGGGAGAGTCAGAACGGTGTAGAATTGATAGTCATGGTACAACAGATCGATGATGTAGTTTGGTGTAAGATAGGAATAGATGCTGGATATTGTGGCCAGGGGTTAGCTGTAAGGATTTGCCAAGGTTTTAAAGTCGAAGGGAGGGATGGATAAGATGAGGAAGTTTTAGGTGGTGTTGTATGAATTTGCCAACACTGCAGCTTCGTGTTTAGATAGAGCTATTTCAAAAAATGTTGGGTACTGACTACTATATATACACAGTGTATTTCAATAGCAAAATGAAAGGTTATTTCCTGCTGAAACGGATTTTCACTGCTTGGTGTGACTCTGTCGTCTCCGTTCAGAGAAGGTCTTCAGTGGAAAGTAATTTCGTTTAAAATTATCATTTTTGAAGCGCCACTGATACTAATTCCAATAGTAGTTTGTACTCAACGTTTTACGAAAACAGCTCTATATTTTATAGTAAGTACCATTCTGAATGAGACGCAATGTCATATGAGATGATCAAAGCCAAAACAGTTATAGAGAGAAGAAAAGTTTAATATTTGTCATATACATTTGTAAAGAATAAATGGGTGTACTTTCATTGTATACATAATATACAGAATACTTCGAATCGTTTGATCTCGTTATTGCTTGCAGGGTTCTCACAAATACTTGGAGCTGTTGACAGTGCGCGTCATTGTTATATATACAATATGCAAGAAAAACGGCTAGATCAACCTTCTTCGGTCGTTAAGTTTGAGTGGACTGGCACTGTTTGCTGTAATATCAAGTTTAAACACGTCGTGTCATATGTGGCTTTCGGCGATGAGCAACTAAAGACTTCTTAAAAGGAGCGAAGAAATTTGGTTGCATGCTTTGATGGATGAAATCTCTCCCAGGTTTAGATGCTTCACTAGGTTTGTTGGCTTCATTTGTCTTCTTTGGTTTCTCGTTTGGTTTGTTTGCGACTGGAGGCTGCGGTTGTCCTTGTGGCCCTTGTCCATAAGGCCCTTGTCCATAAGGGCCTTGTCCATAAGCCCCTTGTCCATAAGGCTGCATACCACCATATCCCATTTGCTGTCCATATGGATCAGGTTGTCCGTAAGGCATCTGTGGCTGTTGTCCGTATGGCATCATTCCACCACCCATTTGTGGAGGGCAGGCTTGCTGCCCACACATCTGTTGAGGTGGAGGTGGCATACATTGTGGTGGACACATTGATTGTTGGGGAGGTGGTGGAGGTGGTGGGCAAGGAGGTTGACCACATGGCTGTGCAGGGGGAGGTGGGGGAATATTCATACATTGTGGTGGGCAAGCCTGTTGAGGCATTGGTGGTGGCATTGGTGGTGGCATTGGTGGTGGCATTGGTGCCATAGGTGCACAGGGCTGCTGTCCGCATTGCTGTTGTGGTGGTGGAGGTTGTGGCGGTGGCATTGGAGGTGCACAAGGGGGTTGTCCACAAGGTTGCTGTGGTGGCATTGGAGGTGCACACGGGGGCTGTCCACAAGGTTGCTGTGGTGGCATTGGCATTGGCATTGGTGGTAGTGGAGGCATGCATGACGATGGGCAGTTTTGTGGTGGTGGTGGAGGTGGTGGTGGTGGAGGAGGGCACGGTTGTTGAGCGCATGGTGGTGGTGGTGGTGGTGGCATACATTGTGGTGGGCAGGGCTGCTGCTGCTGAGGTGGAGGTGGTGGGCATGGTGGCTGTCCACAAGGCTGCTGTGGGGGAGGCATTGGAGGAATAATCTGAGTGAATTGGATGGTACGGCATGGATCCTGGCCCTGCTGACCACATGGTCCTCCAAATGGAGAGATACCTCCACCAAATCCAGGCATCATTCCAGCTTGGCCAGGGTAKCCTTGTTGTCCGCCATAACTGGGCATTCCACCATACGCAGGCTGGTTCATTCCTCCGTACTGCTGAGCTCCATATCCCCCGTATCCCCCGTATCCACCATATCCTGAAGGCTGCTGTCCGTAGCCTCCAGGTCGCTGCTGCTGCTGCTGCTGCTGCACTTTCCGTGGTCTTTCTCCAGGTTTGTTGGCTGGTTCGTCTTCAATCTTTTTAGCTTTTTGTCGTTTTGCATGTCTACAAGTGTAGGCACAGTTGGGTAAAGTATAATCCTGGTGCAATGCCAGGTTACAGAAGTTGTGCTTGGCCCACGACGCGCAACGACTGTCCTTGTCCATCAAGTCCATACCTTTCAACCAATCAAACAAAAAATATATCTGAAATATCTCACATACACCTAAGTGAACTTGAGAAACTTTATAACTTATTTAATATATATGATATCAAAGAGGMAAGATTTTGCTGTAACTCCGAGTTTCGTGCTATGCACTCATCAGACAGTATTTTTTATTTAATAATTATTGTATTGCTATAACAGGATGAAAACTAAGGTCATTTCAATTATGGAGCAGTGACATTTGATAACTTGTAATATCGAAGAATGTTGCATTATATATACAGGACGTTTAACCTATGTTAGCAAGATTAAACTAATATTTATGGCACTATATAGAGCACATTGTTGTACAGCGAGAATGACGGTAATAATTCCTTTTATGTGCGCATGCGCTCTGCTATAATGCCGGACAGCGTTAGTTACGACAATGAAATACTAAGATSGTAAAATTACCTTCTTCACACATTTGACATGTAGATTTACATTCAGCAGACATCTTTTTGGGACTCTTGTCACAGTAGGATTTATATTTTTTACAGTATCTACTATTCTTGTCAGCACATTTGCCTCCTGAAAATAATCGACAATGTCAGTTGTCCTCGATAGATGGCAGTACGTCAAATATGAATGGGCTAATGGGCTTACCGCCAGTAACCTTTGATAGCAGACTTCTTGGATAACCAGTGCGGTATTGAACAGGGACACACTCAAGAAGACTTGCACAAAACAGGAGCGCAAGACTCCAACATATCAGTCGATTCATGTTCACTGAAAACACAAGAAAATCTTGTTTGTTGACTTGAGTCAAATGAATGAACAARTGATTGACTTGCACAGTCACGATGGATTACATATAGAAACGTTACCTATCATAAATATTACAAAATGTACCTTGTGSTAATATGCTGTCTTTAAGATGTTCTATACGTACAAAAATATACCTTCAATTCATGTTGCAGAAGAAGAAAGAAACACTACGTCACATGATCTCATAAAACAGACACTTCTTGACTGGTACGGAGTGATGTCATGCGATGCAAACTTAATTGATCATCGAAAAAGAAATAATTTTTGGCCATAAAATTCGTAACCAGAATCGCGGAATTAGCAGTTAACATTTATAGACAAATAGAGAAAATAGCAAATGAATGCGAAATTCCATGTTTGTAAATAGAGATAGTATAAAACTAATCCGCAAAAATGGAAGAGTTCAAGAACAGCCAAGCCCACTTGAGTGGGCAATTCTAAAAAAAAAATCAAAATGAAAAACTACACTTGGTGTCATTTTCGTATCTGTAGCCAACAAATTTTCCGCTTTTCATTGGTGTAGGACTTCCCCCATCGTTTTTCCTTGATACTGAAAGACCATGTACAGTTTTCCCATGTTCACGATTTAATTAACTTTGTCGCGGTGATTCAATGAACATTCGTCTATATTAAATTCATTACCGATAATTCATCGAAAATTATAAGCGATTATTAAATCTTTTCAACTATAAAACGGCATCTCTCCCTAAAATGTAAAAGCCAAAATCATCTGAGGAAAAGCACGACATTTGCGACGAGAATGCGGAAGAAATCCGAGAACCAACATATCATAGACAGAAATCAAAGCTCATTGAGTTTAAATGATCCGAATCAGAAAACCAGTAAAGAAAGGTCGAAGTTTGTTACGGTATTCTTACCTTACAAGATAAACGCAAAAATCTCTCTTAGTAACCCAAACAACTGTTGACTATTAAGACAGCCACAACAAATGACTGAGAACTCAATAACACATAACATTAACATCATTAACTCATGAATTATTCACGACTTTCATACACTGACCACCGGTTAAGATGTCAAATGATTCTCATTACCGTAAAATCATCGTTTTAAATACAAGTGAACAATAAATACATTTTTTTAAATAACAACAAATGCAATCTATCCAGCTGCGAATAAATACTGTTTTTTTAACATCAGCCGCAAGGACCGCGGGTCCCGATGCATCTTTTGCCAAAAAAAAAATGCATTTTATTATTAGTGTACATGATTTCTATTTTATTCGTTTTAATTCACCGAAATATGAATTAAAAGCTGCTTAAGAAGTCAATTTACAGTGTAGGCATTCAAGTCCMTCAATTGGTGAAGTGATAACACTACGCCCTTCACTATTACTCTACAAGCTTCTGTTCACGTTAACTCATGCACTTTACGGTAATTAAATCAGTTGGAAAATAGATAATTCAAAAGTCATGTTCTTTTTAAGTAAACGACTTTGTTTTGACAACTTTTAAGTCTTTGTCTGTCTGTATTTCAAGGTGTGCCTATTGAAGTGGCTCTTTCGGTATCTCATTAGTCAAGTGACTTGTTTAGAATTGACTGATCCGCCCTCTAGACTATCAGTTGGACATGCGCAGATCGACTTTTCGCAGCTTCTATTTTCTCTGCCTTTCAATGCGTCCAAGATGAAAAGATTGTGTATATGAGCAAAGAGTAACGCATAATAAAACATTTGCAAACCTTTCTACCGAGCAGATTTTATTTGTCAAATCAAATATACCATATATGTTTCCGGGTTTTGACAAACTTGGTTTGTTATTAAAAAAAAAATTGTCGTAAAAGAAATAAAACTATCATGACGTCGCTATAATGTTTACTGATTTTTTGACTGGGAGTTGTCATTAGGTATTTCTTAATGATTTTGCCTGGATCCGCATCGATCATGATGCGCGATAAGCCGCCCCAGGCTACTACTGTATTTTCAAGAGTGCGTCAATGAAAGGCCTGGGCGAGAAATGAAACATCTGCTCAGATATTGATGCGACTCAAACTGGCATTTTTATTGATATTGATTGCCGCGAGAAAAATAATATCACAGACTCTTAGGATTTATGCTCATAGCACAAGAATTCAGTCGTCGTAGGAATACCATAGACCATAGTAACTATAACCAGATCGGTGTTCACATTCTATAAACAACAACATGTACATGAATACATGTAAAACATTGCTCCCAAACTGAACACACACAACACAAACAAAATATGATATGTCTCAGGGGAGTATCGAGGGGGGGTTGAATTGGCTGAAGAAAAAAAGATAGAGAGAGAATAGAAAATACACCTGAATTGGTTTATGATTCACCGTTTTTCGCATCCTCAGAAATATCCTTTACTGAGCCAGACAGAAAGCCGCTAATTGTACTTTTGTCAATTCTTAAGTCAACTGAAAATATTTGCATTTTCCCATTCAGGTAATCAAGTGTGAACAAGCTGTACAATTTGGCAATTGCTATTTACAAAATTATATCTCATATTCATGGCAGATAACTATTGAGGAATTTATTAATTCGCATGTTTATATTTCATCATCAATTATTCCCATGCATTTTCTCTCCTTTTGTTCATTCACTTTTTCATTCATTCATCCACACCACTACCACGTATTGATTCAGGATTGACGCATCTGAAATCGCTTGATAAGTTTGTCGTCGGTTTACACGACGGCCAGCTTCGTGTTAAATCAACAGAAAGACATTTGTTGTGTTTTTTTTCTAGCTACTTTTGTAATGGTGAGAACGCGTACTTGTATTGGTCACAGCAAATCATTACTGTCGAAAGTGAAAACTATTCAATGAACGAGACAATGTAGACAGCACTTTGCACCTTGCGCACATCCAAAATATTCTCAACAATTAGTGGGCTTACTGTCAGACATGAAGACTGCGCCTTTAACTTCATCCTATGACGTAATCTTTGTTACAGAACCTTCCTTCCATAACAACGGTTACCATGGCAATATTACGAGGTTTAGGTAAAATGATATGTTCGTTTTGTGGCGCTATTTACATATTTGAATACATGAATAAAATGATAAAGGAAAAGATGATAAACACACTAAGTACTGTTAATATTGAAGGAATATTTAAAGCAAGTAAGAAAGCAATCGTGCTTCGCACTTCTCGCTACCGAAGTGTTTGATAACAAGRTCTTTTATTCTCTGATTATYGATCTCAACCTTCATAAAAACAGTCGACTGGCCAAGAAGTAGAGCGGGAAAAAGAAGAAGAAGAGGGTTGCTTGCTGACCGTCCATATCTCGATTCGCAGCATTTGACTCCTTACAGCAAATTCCCATATATAACTCGACACCGTGGCGATTCAGCAAGCCTGAGAATACACAAAAGGGTACTCTGGCTTAATGGTGATTTGTGTAAAATATACAGCGTTAAAAGAATCCTATATACTATAGAACTGATGTATTGATAGTGGCTAGCATTTGGTGAGTAGTCTGGTGAATCGTTTTTCATTTGTGACCACACACTTACGCGGAAAGTCTTCAAAGCTCAAGAAGCAATATTACGAAAAAAAGCAGAACATTTTCGTTGCATTTCTATCAACATTTTTTATTCATTTGGTTATAAATCCTAAATTGCTTTTCTTGCAAATAAAGAAAAGGTGTTTTCAAACGATTTCAGTTTTCGGAATAGCACTCGCTGCTAATTATAAAGCGCTTTATCAAAAGAATCAATCCAATCACAGTTCGAGGTTTTATTTCTACCGCAGTAAAAATTGATGTCTTCGCAAAAATTGCCTCTGCTTTAATTATGACTTGTTATCATTCAAAGCTGAGCAGAATMTGTCGTAGGATATGGAGTTTTTAGTGCGGTGAATGCGGTGTATATCTGACATGCTTCAAACTGGTAATTCATTATAGTCACCTGCTAGCGCCACAGAGCCGCTACTCCGCCTAAGGTCGACAGAATAGTTCCTTTCAAGGCATTGCAATTGTAAAGGTACCGAGATAGAACTTCAGTTAATAAACGATATCCCGCAACAACGTGAAATTGGATCGGTAATGCACTATCCGACTAACAAATAACCAATGTTATTATTTGACTCCCTTTTCACAAAGAGAAAAAATCTGCATAATAGTATAGACTGAGAAATTTATTCTTGGTCTGCGGGCGTTCGACGAAGAAACACCAATATTTAGACTTAGTTTGACTTCTATTGAAAATAAACACTGCCATAACAAAGAAAAGTCATTTAAAACTATTAAACCATTGAAGTACTGAGGCTCAGCAAAGTCACCTCGTTTTCTTGTCTGAGAATAAATCAAGTGCTTATAATCAAATGTCTCTGCGTTTTGTCAAGAAGAAAAACGAGATTCAGAAGCAGTAGTGACTTTGTGATTTTATTGGATAAAAAATGAATTAATGCAAACACTCCCCCTAAAAAAAGATGAAAATKAGACAAGATTGAAACTGAAGACAAATCAATGCAGAGAATTTAGGTCTGATATATACTTTTAACAAAACCTCGCCGTTATATTCTTAGCTTGCGACTACGCAACTTGGCGCGTTTAGAAAAAGATGGATTGAATAGCCAGAGCTCGGGAGGAGATGTGTTGTTTTTTATAAATACATTTTAAAATATTGTGTTTCTTATACTGCCTTGTGACCTAGTAGCTTTGCGAGAGTCACTTGCTGGGCAATGACAAAATGGTTTATTTTGTCAAATGGATTGTAGATCAAAATAAGAAGGGTCCTCTGAGATAGGGAATGCTTTTGTTATGAATTTCACGCTTGGAACACTTAATGGCAATGAGCCGGAGAAGGGAGGAGAGATTTGAGGACTTATTTTACTAATAGTCGTGCCTCCAGGCTTAGTGCTGTCATTTTTTGTCAGTTATTATTGAATAAATAAGGATTATAAAGATCAGTCTGCTCCATCATGACGTAACGCTTGTTCGATTCTCTACGGTTACAAAAACCTCTCTTATTCATGGCAGGCTTACATACGACGAATGGCAGCRAAATCTTGTTTTCTGATGGCTGATTGACGGCAGGTAATCACTTGATTACCGGTACCATTACTGACATACCAAATGTCAACATATTATGGTAGATTATTCAAAGAGTCAGTCTTCTTGCCTCGAAACCAAAAAGCGCAAATTTGAATATGGTATAGCTGCCAGAGTGTGATACGATAGCCGCCAGATCGATGAAGTAAAGTGGCTGATTTCCTAATCTTTCAATATCGATCTTGCATAAATTTGATTACTGCTCGTTTACAGTGATAATGATCACCCATGATCCATTTTTCCAAATACTGCAATTACCAATGATTCCCGTTTTGCCATGGCCAAAGTTTGGTAGGATAGACTACAATTACCCATAATTCATTCTATGTAATTACCAGTGTTTAAAATGAGCCCATTTTATTGTAGATATCATGTCATCGTCAAGTAGTAACTCTCTCCCAGCCAACAAAACAGCCCTCAGAGAAACTGTTAAAGTGCTCAAAGGACACGCAAACATGCAGAGAATCAAAGTRTCTCGAGCGTCAACAGAAATCATGAACTATTGCCTAGATCACGCCAAACATGATTATCTTCTTCAGGGAAGCTCGACGTCAGGAAACCCCTACAAAGAAGGAAAAAATTGTCCAATTATGTAAAAATAGTGTTAAATCGATTAATCAAAGTTTTAGAGATGTAACCCAAGCTTACCCATAATTCATTTTTCGTTTATCTTTAAATGTAACGCAACGATTACCCATAATTTATTTTTCATTTATGTATTCACTCATTTTTGATTTTGAAAATACAACTGCGCTGAGTTAAAACAGGGTGCACGCAAACTGGCTATATTGAATAACAGAGGCAAATTCCTCTGCGCATGATCAGGTAGGAGCGGATCCAGGGATTGTCTATTGGAAACAATCTAACGCTACAAATATTACCTCATTCTGAAGCATCATCTTATGATATACGTAGTACTCATGAAAAGACTTGAAGTATTTTTACTACTATAGCGAGTTGTATGTATTTTTAATCGATTACCAATCTACATAATTTCCGGCTTACAATACCGTTCACCTCCTGTTAGAAGTCTGGATCCGCCCCTATTTCTTCCTACTTCATCGTGTGTTTTATAATTATCAGTAGATATATGTAATGTATGACAAAAGGAATAAAATGGGTTTTATGCGAGTACCTTATATTTCCTTAGCTTCCAATAAACGTTCCGAGGCGCAGGCCAACTGACTAGCTCAGGTCCAGCCGGAATATAAGATGAACAAACCTGGAATAGTCGGGAAAACATAGTGGGCGCAAGGTCATCCTTGCTTCACCAGCAGTAAATGTGATGTAGGTATCATACTGTGACCGCATATGAAATCCAGCATGGCCCCTTTTTATTGCTATTTTTTCGCCAAATTCTTCATTTGCCAAATCATTCAAAACGTTTATCAATCAATCAATCATTGAAAAATTTTCATCAATCAATCAATCAGTCAATCAATCAGTCAATCAATGGCAATCAATCAATCAATGGCAATCAATCAATCAATCAATCAATCAATCAATCAATCAATCAATCAGGAACTAGTGATTTGTTTCACCTACTTTTTTAAACTTTAGTCTTTTTGCACAACTGAATCTATCAACCAATCAATCAATCAAGATACAGTGACAAAATTTTTCAGAGGTGTCATCTATAGAATCATATCTTTTGTATAAGATTCTGAAAATTACAGACTTGCTTTAGAATCAGCGCGTGACAGCATACTCAATGTCATGCATGTTAACATCCGGCATTTGACACACGCCTCTGTTACGAACCTTGTCACGCAATTCAGTTCTCTGTGTGATTGCGTGATGTTTTTGGATTAAAAGCAGCTATAAATGAAATATTCCTTATCTTATTGTGTTACAGTTGCGCTGTCACACATTATGCAATCAAATTATTTTTCGATGTGAGAACATGCATTATTTAATGTTGGAATCAATTTTGTTAACACGAATAAGCGCTTGTATTTTTTTATAAATAGTTATGTGACGTCATGATYATTCTGTCAATCAATTGTTGGTGGTCGACTCGAGTTCACTCATTTGCATGCTGTCTTGCTTACCAGAAGCTGGACATGTACAAGAAGAAATGTAGTGTCATAGGTATTATTCTAACCCTGTACTTCTCGGTAAGTATAAGTCTCTTAAAATATTCCTAGTAATTATAGCACCTGACATTTTATATGCTGACTATTTTGGCTGCATTGTTGTTCATCGCCGAGGAGATCTACATTCTCTACACCAAACATTGATCAGTGTTGTGCTATGCATTGTTATTACAAAGTACCTTAATTTAGTTGTTGTTGGAGTCTTTTCAAAGTGTCCTGTTGAGGGATGTTATTCCTGGATCGTAGCTACAGTAAAATGAACATCACATTCAACGCCGAGGAAGAAATTAGCATTTGTTTGTTCGATTGAAGCCGGTGAGAAATACGTGTTTCGCTATTTCACTAGACATCAGACAATTTTGTGTTTCACTTAAGTGATCTTCAGTTAACATTGAAACAATAATACCTGTATAATAGTTGTTTTATTGCTGACTTTTCGATCATGCTTCGTTCGGTCTTCGTTCGTAGATATGACCTTGTCTTTGTGCGAACCGATTTGCACATGTGACACAAATATGCAAAAAACTTTCTAGGTTTATCGTTTCCATTCTTTCTCTGTCTGTGTTATTTCTATCCCATCAGGTACCGATATAAAATAATCTTCCGAAATTATGAAATTTTAGCAGATATTTAAAACTATAAAGCATTGTAAAAAGCTTAAAGATGGCTTGGTTAAGTTGGTATTGTGCTGTCGTATCCGCCATGTTGAATAACGTCCAATCAAAGACTCAAATCAAGATATTATATCCATCTAAGATGAAACGGTGTACTTTTAAACAGGGGGTTTTATAACCGCGGTTTGTTTTTAACTCTGGAGTAATAAAAACAATATCACTGTTCGTATTTTCGTTTCGTGTCAGCGGGGAGTCAAGTTAGCTTACTTTACGACAGTATTTCAGAAAGTACGTCAAATTGTTATGCGAAATTTTATGGATTCAATAAAAGGTATGCCTGTAATACTAGCAGCGATCAGAGAAATAAATATTTGAGTCGAAATCAGGATTTAATCTCCTCTCTTTGTTAATGTGTGCTTGCCGCTTTACAAAGTGACTTGTTCAAACTTGCCCAGTAAGCAAATTTCTTTTAGACAATACTAAACATAACTTGGCATTGAGTTCCACCAAAAACATCATTATCAACCTCACAGATCATCAAAAGTTATCTCTTTTGAGATAATGAGAATATAAGATATTACTACAAAGGCAAAATTTGTACAGTAATTAGATTATGATCTCACACTTCCCTAAGTGAGCTTAACTGAATATTTTACAACTGTAGAACTACCACTAAATGGATTCTTTACAAAAAGAATAATTTCATTTACAAGGATTATATAAGCCTCTGTTTGATAACATCATTTTGTAGATATTCTAKTCGGAATTAACAGTGTTCATGAAGGTAATTAACAAAAGTTTAATGCATAGAAAAGACTAATATTACACAATTACTGCGATAATATTACTGGGATCAGGTGTGATCTTTGGTTTTGGCGGATTTGTTTGAAGCTGACTTTAACACTCTGACCCATAGATATTTATCAAATAATGAACAAACAAATGCTGCATTTTTCCGTCTTTGATGTATCTTCTATTATGATCTTTCCAGTTCTATGTTTAGCGGTATCAGTTTTTGGACCGAAATAAGTTTATTGATGTCCTCGCAAATCTTGAAGGACTCGACTTGTTTTAGAGTAAACTGCCCTTATTTTGGCTAAGTCATGATTAATTATATTTTATTACACAAGATAACGTTTATATCTTGTAGAAACTATCAAAGAATCGACGCAGTCCCATTCTGTAGTTTCAAAACTTTTGCATTTTCGACCAATGTTTATTATTCAGAAGTCGTGTATGGTAGAATGCAAATAGTTGTACAACATTTTACATGCCATCTACGTTTCTTTGGTTTTATTTTAGTAAAGTATGTAGAGAAAGTTTAACTTATTTGAACTGTTAAGACTTTCATTGTGTTGTTGGGTGTTCAAAAATTACGAGAATTCGCTAAAAGCGTTCAGTCAACTGGAGAAGAATTGGACCTAACGGCTGATTTCAACCAAGCACACTACATACCCTCTTTTTTAGGCTTTTTGTTTATTGATTTAAAACACAATCAACATATTTTTTGTTTCTTTGTAAACCTACTATGGTTAAGATTTTAATTGGTAGTCGCATCGAGGATGAAAGTTGAGTATATGGGGGTAGGGGTCATTTGATTGACATTGAGTTATTTCAGTAATATASAGAAAGTTCATAGTTAATGGACTGTTTATTCAAAACGCTTACCGTGAAGTCTACGAAGAATGATTGCAAGTGTTACAGCGCAAAGTCCTAATAGGTCGTAATAATTACGCTGCCATGTAGCCCTTGTTCTCCAGAATGTTTTAATTTCCTTGAGTGAATTCCCGATTATCAATTCTTGTTGTTTTTATATATAGCTTCTCTGTTGCTATTAGTAGGGATTATAGATATATTTTCTTTTGAAATAAATGTCAAGTGTTCTCAAAGTAAAACTAATAGAATGACTTTGTAAACTTTGCGCGGTAGTTTCCCAACGGGAGTAGCTATGGTAATGGTTCCCTTTTGTGTTTTTGTCATATTTCTGCTTTTGATATTTCACTAAATCTTCTCGAATTGCATAGTTTTTAGATTCTTAAAAGGATGGTATTGTGTTTTTTTGTTTTTTTGTCATAATGATGTATGGTTAGGTTGTACCAAGCTCGAACTACTATCAACAGAGATCACAATTCACCTTGAACGAGTGTTGACCTTTTGTATGCTGACATGCCTTTACGCCAAATACTTTCGCTTTCAACTTGATTCAATCATTTTGTCATTCCTTTAAATAAACAACTATATGATTGAAAAGAAAATATTCCATCACTTAAACTTCATTTGTTTTCTTTGATGGTGTTGTTGTTATTCTTAAGAAACTGTTAAAGTCATTCATTACAAATAGAATGATTGTTTTTCTTTTTCAATGGTTAAGAGAAATATCGCTGATAATATAATTATAGGTAATACCTCAATTCTCATATCAGCAAGAATGAAGGTGGTATTATGGGATAATTATATTGTGCATGGCATATATCGTGACTTAGCGGTAATGCGAGTTGACGAAATGTGGCGGCTGACGGCGAGGACCGACACCTGCTCATATACTACAGCCTGTCTGTCGACTCGTTGAAGTCAATTTATACCTTTAACTATTTTACAGTTATGAAAAGCCAATTAATTGACCGTGGGAAGGACATTAGAAATTTGAGCCTTGTTATTGGGCCTATTTCTAAGTTTTGACGTGCTTTTTGTAAACGAGTGGCGTTAATTGTATTTATTCTGCCTATTGTAACGTTCCTTAAGGCAGGTTATGCCCAAACAGATTTCAATTCGTTACATCACCTAGATTCTATTGAGATTTGATATGATAGCTTGCTCTCTACAAAGTCTCGGCTGATTAACAATTGAATAGATGGCTTGCCTAGACATACAATTAGCCAGAGAGAATTTCTTGTTGTATGCAGAACTGTGAGCGAAAACTTTTATTCTGGGTGTGCAAAGGTCATTCTATTAGTCGTACGTACATGGCAGTTTGTTCAAAATGACGCTATAATAGTTCATATGACTGTATATCACAGCATACAGGCATCTTAGCGAACCACACTTCCTTAATAAGGCCTTCATCATACAAGACAATAGCAAAGAAAGGCTTAGCGTGTGGCGCTGATCGTCTTCCAAGGTCGACTGGTCAATTATCCCGTCTTGGTTTTTTATCTCGTGTGTTGCCTCGTCGTGAAAGGATGTACGTGGCATCGTGGCGAATGTATTACTTATTTTAGACTGTTTCATGATTGTACAAAGTGACTTCTAACACTAAATGGAGTGTATTTATGAACTAGCAAGAAAATGAATTCATATGTACTTCAAATCGTCACAATCGTTGCTGCAAACGTACGTAAAAACGAAATAACGTGTTTCATTGTTATTAAGCAATGCATGTATCATTCAAGTCTGTTTGCACCTTTACAATGATGTTTTTGATGCCTTGCAATCCACATATTCGTGATAAAATGGCATGTGAGTTTCACGCGCTACTGACATGCTCCAACACATTTGATAGTACAACCTCCGTTTTTCCTGTTTGGTAATCTATCGTTGCGTATTGATTTAGTATTAATGCTTACTGTAGTTTTAGTTTAGGTCATCCTCGTGTATTGTAGATATTGTAATTAATATTTTGTATGCTTGTTTCTTTTTATGACGCGTGCCGGACAACGGGGAGGGAAGTAAAAGTTGCATCGACTTTACAGCGATATTTTAGGCAATACTCTAAATATCCATAAATCAAGTATGTTGAATGTATCAAATATCAAGACTGAAATAAAGTGAAAGAAGCTAAATAAAAGATTTCAAGTATTTTAGACCGTGTCTTGAACTTAGGAAGAACTCTGAAATGCTGCCTGGAAAATGTACATTTTTGTCCGGTTTTCTTTCACTACTTGATATTAGAACTGCTTCTTGTCGTGATTTGTAATAGAAATTGTGCGGGAACAAAGGATTACGCTGTATACTTGTTGGAAACTAATAAACTGAGGTATATGTGCTTGTTGAAAATCTGTGCCATATTCTAATAAAGCATTGTTTCTGTTTCAGGTGGTGTATGCGTCAAGATTTTGCGGTAATTGTCCTCCAGGGTTTTTTGTAAATGGTTGTAAATCTAACTCGTCAGCAAACTGTGCGCCATGTCCACCAGACACCTTTAAGCTTGGCAACAATGATTTAACACAATGTACTAGGTGTACGGACTGTAACGGACGGAACAATATCGAAGTCCAGAAATGTAACGGTACCCATGACAGAACATGTAGATGTAGAAACGGATATTGGTACGATACTGGGGCTTTATTTTGCTCTCAATGCAGTTATTGTAGGAAAGGCAAAGGAGTGGTACAAAATTGTACATTTACTTCAAATACCAAGTGTCAAAAATGTATTCGAGTAAGTATGTTTTTTTTGTACGTGAATGATCTGTATTCTCTCTAGAAAAAACTCTTTGCGCTGAGGTTTTTAAGTACTAAGGGTTTTTCACCAGCATCTTTGAATGTTTAACACGATAAACCCTTCTTTGTGAATTGTGGTAACGATAATGTCATAATAATGATAGTAATGATTATGATTGTAGATGATGAAAGCTAATGAATATGACTATGTTGATAATAAGGACGTTGATTGACAAGGTCATATTACTGTATATGACAAGGCGTATTACTGCGCATTACACTAGGTTGAATACAATCCAATAATCATTTCATTCACTTATTTACTTCAGGGGGTAACATTCTCGCCAGTTTATAGTAAAACAGAGTCGTGTAGACCGTGTAAGATATGTGGGGAAAATGAAGAATTAGTCAAACAATGCACACGAAGAAAAGACACTGAATGTAAACCAAAATCAGAAAAAGAGAAATTTAAATCAAAGAATAAATCAAAGTGGCCCGTCGAGATTGAATCAACTGCAGAACCAACTACRTATATTGTAGATTCGAGTCCACCCATCAGTAAATACAGAACAACTGGTAAAACAGGTAAAACAGGATTTTTGATYTCAAATCATTTGATTTGGTTGATTGTTATTTGGATTGAAGTTGTTGGATGTAAGATAAGGAGTGTTTTAAATCGATATATCTTTCACTGAAATAAATTAACCAGTCAAATGCGAYATTTTCTGTTGTAGAATCTTTTGGGACAACGTCAGTCTCACTTTCTGCGGTTAAGCAAGAAAGAAGTGACGGCAACACTTTGGAAATTATCCTGTAYRTCGTAGGAGGAGGGATTGGWGTATGTCTMATAGTTTGTGTGGTTGTATTGGTCTTGCGCCGTAGGAAGACGACAGTAAAGAGATCACGTAATCAAGGTAAGAGTTAGTGTTAAGTTATTGTTTTGTTAAGTGATATTGTGTTGCACTGTTTTGTTTTRTGTTGTGTCTTGTAATGATGTGTTTTTGTTTTGTTATCTTATGTTGTGTTTCGCTGTAAAATCCGTATCTCCGCGCGCCCATGTAATATCCTCTATTTATTATTTTGTGTTGTATTTTGTTATTTATGTCCGTCACTCACTCACTCATTCTTGTACTAGTTTCGGCGCCATCGCCTCCACCCCATAAAGTATCAGAACCAGTGAATAGACTGAGCAGCACACCGCTAATGCATGGTTCTACAGGTACATTAGTTATAGCCTTATATTGAAAAACTTCAACGTACATTTTTTGTAAAGTACTATTTTTAACTTGTGGGTTTTTGACCTTGTTGAATATCAAATTACATCATCAAAGGTAATACCGAAAGAAAGCATTGTGAAGTAAAGACGCAGTGTACATTTACGAGKAATGCTGTTTCGGCAAATATGATGCGAGTTTCAATTTTTTTGTTAGTCTTTTTCTGAAACTGCAAAATTTTTCCATATAAAGTTGTAGACCGATTGCCTCGTTTTAGTTTTATAATCTAATCCTAAGGTCATTTGTCCACAGATAAATTACTTCGTGAAGTAAGCTATAGTGTTATAGACGATTTATCAACACATCTAAATCCTAAAGGAAGATGGAAATCGCTGGCTGGCAAACTTGGTTTTTCAAGTAAAGACATTGACAATTTTGAACTCCAACCAACCAATGCAACGGCAGTTATGTTGTCCCACTGGGGTCAACAGAAGGGCAGTACACTACACCATCTTTACGATGTATTGAAAGGCTTAAAATGGTTCGTGGAAGCCGACATAGTTGCTAAGTATTTGTAGGGAGGGTTAAAAAGAGRACTATTTTACATGCATTATCGTTGTCTATACATAATGATTGCCTTTAATAGTGACTCCCGGATGTTGATAATTATTTAATGGCTATTTTTGTATATTCACTGACTACAACGATAATGCTTGTATAGACATTTTCAAGTGTTCATTTGTATTTGAACACTTTATAGCTTTAGATATTTAAAGATTGATTTATCAAAAAATGTTTTGGGATTTGGGAACTTTGACAAAATCGCCGGTCTAACGGTGATCAGATCAACGAATTGGTGGTTTCCATACGCATGCGCTGTTCCAACACTGGTATACCTTCGCTTTTTATCGTTCTTTTTGATGACGAAAATTGTGAGAATGCATTTCGGGCATTTAGTGCTCGGTTTGAAGTAGTCACGATTGGTGACAGTTTTTTATATTTATAATTATTAGTAATTATTAATTGTTGTAGCTTTTAATTATTAWCACAAGTTTGTAGAAACTCTACGTCGTATTGGACGTCATGATATGTTAGTCGTACAGTAGTAACAGTTACTTAGTAATGGTTGGGTGTGTATTCTTGTAGTAAGACTTTCTTATTTTTGCAACTTAAAGTTGCGTAATTGTGTTTAGTGATCTTTAATACTTTCATTAACTCACAGCTAAGCTAACATAGCAATAATATAACAGCAATAACATAGAGAGTATGATAATGCTAATCATCAAATGATTTCTTAACCGCTTTGTGCTATATTTCATGTAGATTTTGCTAATGCTGTTCATTGCCAAGTAATGATTCAATTGATACTCTAATTATTTGCTAATTAATCGTAACTTGTAGCAAGGAAATACATTGATCGAATAATTTTATATTTTTAATTTTGTAGTCGTTACATTATTTTTTGATTCCGTCTAATCATTGTGCGTGGCGTTTATCGTTAGAAATCTATCAAAGTTCCAATTGTGTTGTCGTACAAAAAAATGGACATTTCTATCGTTAGAATTTTGTGTATATTGGTTCATCACGCAAATGATCAACTTATCTTACAGGGGTTCTTGTAGCTTTATATTGAAGCACTATATACAGTAATATGATTCATTGATATGGAATACGTTTCTTGCTACRTATAGTGGATCATGTCACGTTTATTCCAATATTTGACACAGACAGTGTGCTCCTTCGTGCTTCTGTGATTGAGAAATCCTGACCACATTTGATAATGCTGTTTTGGTTGACAGTAAGAATGGCTGCACTGCCTGTGATTTCAAATACGCTGCCATTTCCATCAGATTTCTTTCTAAAAATATCAGCATTGTGTTTAAACTGTATGTTTGGATCTGTTTCAAGAGGTGGCAGCATCATTTATTTAGTATTATGGAAGCACATGATATTGAAACCGCTGATAATACTATTATCAAAGGTGTTTCACAATAATTTAGAATAAATATTTTTATACGAATATATTTTTCTTTGGAACCTAACAAAATTGCACCATTAAACAARTACAATCCATGCATCTCAGTTTGATTAAGGCCTCATTCTATACCGAGATGCTTTGCAAACGCCGCCAAAAAAKGTTATGACTCTCTTATACATGAAACCTGATAAATTGTTATTTTTGTGAACTGTAATAACTGGAGGAGAGACATTTCCAAGTCTACCGTTTACGTATCATCTCGTGGAGATAAGCTTGGTTAGCACTTGCGACACAAGATTTCAGCCATGAACGCTAAAAATACACATGATTTCTTATCGTGTCGTTCTTTTGTTTACTCGGATGCGAATATATTCGAAATGAAGCATTTCTTAGGCTTATCGTTTATGCAGAAAGACCAACGTGTTCGGATATTTTAGGAAAGGACGATTGTTGTTTGTGTAAACGCAGTCTCATAAAGCGGGGTATGAGTGGGACACCGTTACCGCACGGTTACCGCACTGTTACCGGACCTGGCCTGCACAATTTTGGTGAACCAATGGGGCACTAGAATTTGGTTACAGTACGATTACGGTTACAGTACAGTACCKTTCGTTTCCCACTCATACGAAATCCGCTCTATCACTGGCTTGTGTCGCAAGTGAAAAACAGGTTTTTTTCCGGTTTATTGTCGTGAAATTCTTTTCTTGGTAGCAAAGCAGAATCTAAAGAGAAAAGATATCTTCTCTGCGCATTTTGCTTTAAGCAGTTTATTAATGATTTATTTAATCAAATCTTCTCATGTGAAGGTTTTTTGCGTCGTTTTTAAAATTTATTATTGAATGTAATTATTACGACAATTATTATAAATTAAGTTGTTTCACATTCAAGAAAAAGCGGGAGCTAAATCCCTGTAACTATTTTATAAAAAAGGATTTAAAATAAATATATATCATGCACACGACATGACGCGTTTCATCGCTATTAAAGGAAGTTTACACTTGTATRAAGTGTGTTTCATTTGCGTTATTTGATTTGGGCGTGGTCGGGGGTGGGGCGGGGGTTGGGGTTAGAGGGGACCTTCATAAAGCTGATCTTCAAACAAAGATCTCATTGAGAATCTGGTATTACAGAGATAAATAAAAATTATAAAAATTACTGCTTCGTTTTAAAAAATATGGGAAGAGAAGGAATGAGGCGAGTGGAGAGGAACGCCTGTGTGATAACGACTTCCTAAAGGAGGAGCAACAGGAGCAACAAAAGAAACAAGTAACACGCGATTATCGTCGATAAAACGAATTAATTATGAGTCGATCTCATATGCTGTATGATAATAAACCATTAGAATCAATACCAGTCACTCCTGTTCAATGGGAAACTCCGTGGAATGCCGAAAACATCTTTAGATATGACAGGTAGAACGGTCAACTACATTCTTTCATGGTTCCAATTCTATGTTAATTTTTACTTTCACTTGACAAAAGTGTATTTTGTGATTAGCGACGGTGGTATTTTGGTTGAAGGCACTGTGCAAAGCAGGTCAAGATTCTCAATACGAGATAAAACACCAGTTAATACAAAGGTGAGGTGTAAATAACWGTTRACGTGCCACCAGTTGCAGGGARTTATAAGACAGTATACTGTTGGTGTCTYATTTCAGTGGAGGTATGTTGTACTTCATGTTACAGTAACCAGGGCAATCAAGAGAAAGTTTGATGCATCAGGGAAAGAAATGGAACCCAACTTTGGAGAAACTAAGAAAGTCAGCACAGGATATYTAATGTCATCTTACAGTAAGATAGAATCTGTGAATTAAAACGAAGATACAAACTTAATTTGTTACACATCTTATTTCCTCAGAAACATGTGCTGTTGGAGAAGCTGATAAGTTAACAGTTTATGAAGTATTGACAAAAAATATCAGTCAAGGAGCTGCAAGCTTTAACTGAATATAAAGAGTCAGCTTACAAAAACTGTATATCATTTTGGTGGGATGAAAAAGAATTAGAAAAAATAGAACTTAGTGCAGGTGATCACATCAGACTAAGAACCAAAGGGAATGGACCCTACATTGGTAAGGATGGCTTTGTAAAACAACCTTACAGTCTCCCTTGYAGCACTTTCATTTGTCAGACATCCTGTCCCTCCCAAGGAAGCYTGACAAATGGAGTGCACTGTAAAACAATCCAGACTAATTTCTTCTTCTGACCCTGTCAAGATTCACTGAGYAAACTTGACCAGCAAACGTCAACGGTCTCAAACTACTCAGGTGGCGAAAGTACTGGTGCATTGTGGACTGACAAAGTCATGTCATTCAAGAAAGAAGAACATGAAGATGATGACAGACAAGAGGGTGTTGATGAGGATGAATGGGTAAAAGACAATACTTCTGAAAATGTGCTTTTTTGTTTTGCTTCACTAATTTTATGGACATTCCACACTATCAAAAGCAACATTTTCTACTTTCTATTTGATAGAGATGGAAGGAAAATAACTTATTGAAATTATTGTTATGCAATGAAACTCGTTTCTTTATCCTAACATTCTTATAGGGGGAGGGGGAGGGATGGATGTACAGGGGATGTTTCTTATTTGAGCTGTTTTTAACTTCACAGGATGATTGAACCTAAAAGAAAGTGTAACCAATAAAAGACTGCAAGTGCCCTTGTACCCTGAATTTATTTCAATCAGATCAAATCATTATACAATAAAATGGGAGATGAATATTGAAYTCAACATTGCTGAAGATCAATATTATTGTAAGATGATTACATGATTATACATGAATTGAGAATATTGATTTTTAAACCTCAGTAGCATTCTGGTATTTTAAGATCTTTGACAATTTAACAATTGACAATTTGATATTTGATTTTGTCATCAATAGATTGAGCCAGTCAATGCTAATAATAATATTGTAAAATTCTATGTTGTAGAATGATTCCTACATGTATAAATTTTTATTAAAGTTTTTATCAAGTGAAAAGTAAATCTTCATCATCTTCATTTTCCAACAAATTTGAAGGGTGGTCTGAAAGAAAAGATTATCAATAATCACTCTTATCATCCTATAATAATTAATAATTATCATTATTTTATCAGAGCCAACCTATTTGCATTAATTAGTTGTATTAGTAAGTCTAACCTGCTAAGTCCATGCCCTTCTTGGCCTTCTCTTTCTCAGCCTTGTCCTTCAGAATCTTTTTCTTCTCTTGAATCTTTTTGAGTCTGTAGAGCAAGATTTCAAGATATCAACAAACCAATGTGAAGTAATGTCAAGCTGAGTTATAGCATACCGATAGAATTCTTCTCTTTCACGTTCATCCAGCTCACCAAGAATGTAACTAACAGTACTCTCTATTCTTGGAATGATAACTAAAGAAAATAAACAATACAAAAAATATCCTCTTAGTTTTTCATACTAGGACTACTTTAAAGTATTTGTCAAATACAGTAGTACCTCTATTAAGCAATTGGGTGTCCACAATAAAAAGTCCTAATATTCTATATTCATCCTCTATCTAATGATCAAACTCCCTTTTAGAAAGTCTCAAGGGTGACCACTTAATCAGTATATTTTATAATCTTACCATGTTCTATTGCATTCACTCTACGGTTGGTGATTTTATGTATCAATCTTACCATGTTCTATTGCATTCACTCTACAGTTGGTGATTTTATGTATCAATCTTACCATATTCTATTGCATTTACTCTACGGTTGGTGATTTTATGTATCAATCTTACCATGTTCTATTGCATTCACTCTACGGTTGGTGATTTTATGTATCAATCTTACCATGTTCTATTGCATTCACTCTACGGTTGGTGATTTTAATTGCTTCATCAAGTGTGACAAAAGATGTCTACAAAAACACCAATAGTGCTAATTAATGATTATAATTCATAATGGAAGAATACTGTACAATTATTACCTGTAAGGATGCCAGTTCAACAAGCAACTTCACAGCTTTTCCATATACTTCTTGGCATTTACTAACTTGTTGACCACCTCTTGATAGTCCGGTCAGCTCATAACCTGAACAATAAAAAATGAAACAAAATATTGATGAAAATACTCTTCATGAATATGCAAATTATAGTCCATTTAAGACTTTGGAGTTGTACTTACTATTAGTTCCATCAGTAACTGCCTCAAAGATAGGTAACTGCACTCCTAGAATTAAAAAGAATAAATAAATACCGGATATAGAATTAATCACAACAAAACATACAACAAACCTGCAACATTGTCCTTCCTCATTTTGATCTTTGTCTGTGCTTTATCTACATTCTCCAATACACCAGTGCTACAAAGTACATAAATACTCATTATCATTGACTTTTACAAGGAATTTCCTTCTATAGTTTAAGTTAGATACAGTATATTTTAAATGTTTAATTTAAAAATGAAAAACCAATCTGAAGCATATAATTAAATTGCACAGGAAACCAGAATTATGACCCATATCCACAGACAAAAAGATTGCTGAGCCTGTGCATTGCACTCTTGATTATTCATATCTGGTCATGTGACAAAATAATATTCTCAGAGAACACTCTCACAATTAATGTCCTTTYATGAAAATAGTTTAAAACTACTTCAGTGATTTTGAAACCTAAARAGTCTCACCTGAAGTCTCCAGCAGCAAAATTTGCCTCTGCCAACGAGAAAGTTGCTTCCTTCATTATTTCACCCATCAAATGCTTGGTCTGATGAAAGGTATAAATTATTTTACATAATCTACTACATAGTACAAGAGAACTGCCGATYTTTGATTATAAATACCTCGATAATTTTCTTCAGTATCTTTCTAAATCTTAGGGTCAATGCATCTGCCTTTTTCTTTAGTAAACTGTGCCCCTTCTGAGCTCCTTTTAGTCGAGCCTTCATCAGTGTCAAGGCCCTATGAAACACAACATTTAGCTAGACAATGGTTTTTTTTCTGCTATAGACTACAAGCATAGATATCTAAAAATAGTATACTTACATCCTAGATGGAAAGACATTGATTCTRTCCTTCCCCGACATGGTGAAAACTCACTATAAATTGTCTGCCGATTTCAGAGTTGTCTCTCTCTCCTCTTCTCTACGTTTTGCCAAGGCACTAGCAGCCAGGCCTTGTTTCATAGCACAGGAAACCCAAAGTCAACTGACCCATTTCACAAGGTTCCAAACAGAACAGATTTTTACGAAAAAAAGTATGAGACACTTGTGAGAAGTAATATTAAGGAATTCAACACCACTAGTAAATTGTTTATAGGCTGTTTTTTATTATTTCTGTACACAAAAAATTGTCTTTAAGGTATATTTTACTGACTGAAACTATCAATTAGTTGTAAGTTTTTTTATAAATCTTACTTAAACAAATAAAAAGAATATATTTTGATTAGTAGAACTTTAGAGAAACATTGTAGTATAAAAACGAGCGACAATAAATTGCAAGGTTTCGTTGTCATCCCGACAACATTTGTCGCTYGTTTTTATACTACAAAAAGAATATAATATAGAGAAATACAAATCAGAAGAAGTTAGATGGAACATGGACTTGTAAATTGACCTTGTTAGCAACRAGACGACTGAACCCGCTCTCCTGATTCATTGATTCCTGTATACTTGCTGTCTTTACAAGCTATCTATTATATTATACTATTCAAATAGAAATGTGTTAGAAACCAGTGCTGTTGAGAAGTGCAGAGGAGAACATGATTGTTTCTCATTCACATTACATCAGAAGCATTTTCAATAATATTTATCCAAATCAATAATACAAAAACTTAAGTTCAGTTAGTGTAATCATTTAAAGTCTGCAATAGATAAAGTTAATGATGGTTAATGTTAGCTAAATGTCACATCAATAATACTCCAATTTCGAGTTCTGGTTTGCTCTGTGTTAGCCTCAAAACCAAGTAACATATTCTTTTGTTTTATTGATAGCCTGTGAAAACGCATGGAATTTGAAAAGGAATACAATAGAATTGATATGAAATCTCACACTTTTATTCTCACAATTACGAATATTTTGCGCACAAATGAGGCTAACACAGAGCATTGGAGAATTCGAAACTGGATTATTCTCCTGTTTGTTTTTTGTTTTTTAGTTCAAATTCGCAAATCGTAAAGCAAAAAGTAAAAATATTTGTTGAAGGTGAAATACTATGGCTCATGCTTAACTTTCCCATATGCAAGAGATTTGTGACTGGCATATTTAGTGGTAATAGATTCATTAGACTTCACCAGTAAAAAAGACAATGAACATTTGTCTGTAACAATAACCCATCTAATAGTAGTATCAGTTTCTACTATTTCAAAAGGAACCTTAATGACTGAAATAATGTTCCTTGAATTTATCAGAGAAAATAAATTAACCTATCAAATCACTCTATGAGCTTCTTGGCAATAAAAAATCTCCTTAGATAGAATAGCTGCCATGTCGCAAGACCAAACAGACATAGAATAGAGAATACAGAGAAGTACAGCACTCTTGAGTTGGTTGATTCTGAAAGACAAGGACACACATTATATTCAAACTCACAAAATTACAAGTATTACAATGTAGTTAGAGTTAGTTGTAATTCTGACATCTKAAGAATCAAAGTGCTTTAGTTGGTGGTTAAGAAGAACAAGAAAAATTATTTACCATTTGTATCTCTCATCTCCTGTTCCCTTTGCCTCATGTAAGCGAAGTCATTAACAATAGCATCAGCTAAGTCTTCTAGTCTTTTCAGTTCTATTTCCATGGGCTTTAGCTTCTCTGCTTTCCCAAGCTATAAASGAGAATACCACTCTTTCATAAATACCATTCACTGATTGAACAATAAATTTCATCAGCTATTCGGCAACTTAAAAGGAGTATTTTTTAGTATAACTTACATCTTCGTAGTTTTTTGCTTCTACACCATGTTTGATATCAATAAAGATTTCACGGTCACTTCCWCCAGCCTGGGTTGCTAAAAACACAAAAATGATTATTTGTAACTGCATCTATCGGTAGCCTATTAGCTACTTGCACTGTATAAAAATAAAGCATACACCAGATTCAAAAWCATCATAAATACATCACATATCTTTAAATCAATCATATTTTGTATTTCAGTGTTGGGACGGCCTATAGTCCAGTTAGTCAGTTATTTGGGTCTGGAGCAGACCAGTGGCCTTAGTAATGTAGCTGAGTGAATTTGCAGCTAATGCAGTCGAACAGTGCTCAATACACATCATTGAAGAGCAAAACATGATTCTCTTACTCTGAATTTTGTGCTTACAGACTCATCAGACAGAATTTAATCCTAATTTTAAATTCTGTCTGACAAGTTCGTAAGGAAGAAACTCAGTCACAGACAATCATGACCTATTGTAGGTCTTKCTAATATATATTTTTATTTTGATTACAGATACAGGTTGCTTGCAAAACATACAATGCGGACATAGATTGTGAGTAGAATTATTGATGCAAGAACTAGAACTAACCTTCACTTTCAAAGCAAACTTCATACATATCATAATCATCAGTGGTGAATGCAAACTTTCCTTTCGTTGCATCGTCTCTTTTGTACAAAACATGACCTGAAGTCTCTATAACCTGATAATCCAAATACACTTTAAAAATCGGTACATCTTAATATGAAAGCTTATAAATTACGTAGATCAATGTACCTTTAGATGCGTCTTTTGATTAGGAGAATCGGATAATCTGTATTCGCCAGTGACTAGAACATCTTTGTGTACTTCTTCTTTGAGGCATTTTTTGGCACCAGAAGGCAGCGTAAACGATAACGAACTTACCAGTAAAATAACATCACATAGAATAAAAGAATAAACTAAGTATAATACGGATTTCATAGTGAACGCTAACTCTATCTTTCTGCACGTTTTCAGTGTATATTTTTGCAATATTCAAAAATGGCAGAGACGTGGCAGAAGAACAGGAAAGCGCTACATCCGGGAAATCATTAAACCACTGAACAAAAACATCGCAGACGTCCATTATTGTTGATACACAGGAAACCCAAAAATATAGACGCCACAGGATTCCCGCATGTAAACAAACTTTAGAAAACCGGAAGTAACGTTCCCTTCAGTTGAACGTTCTAAAATAGTGATCCTTTGCCTCACCTAATCCTTAAATCTTGAAAGTTTTTGGTTTTAAAATTTCCATGAGTTCTAGAGTGCTTCATCGGCACAGTTATGACGTGTCTGATCAAAAGCAGGTACTCAACTTTTTGATTCTTTCTACAGGTCTTTGAATTGCACGTTGAAAATCATAAACATGAAATCCTCGTGTTTAATTTGTTCAAAAGTACTTATTCCAATAATATTCAGCATCCTTATTGGGGTAGTGCAGTCTATATCTTTTACTCTCAAAGCAAACTCGAAAAGGTGCTTTTTGGACGGCGCAAGAAAGGATATTCCTGTGAAGGGTGAATATTCAGTTTCTACCAACGATCGTTACAATGTTAAGCTAACAGTAAGTCTTCTWTATTTGCTTTTAATCATATGAATGAGCTTTTAAATGATATTCTATTGATTCATYTGAGGTCAAGGATGCCAAGCCAGACAAACTCGAAGATCTCTTATATAACAAAGACGCTGCCACAAAAGGCAAATTTGCATTTTCGTTCGACTACGACGCAGTGATGGAAATTTGCTTTCAGAATCAAGGTAGATATATAGAAATAYTGGTGAAGATACTGAATGAGTACTCAACATTTCTCAATTGATTTTCCATTTATTCACCCATTCAATCATTCATATCACATTACACATTCCCTTACCCCAATAATTTACATAATTTTTATTTATTTCTACATACGATTGGAGGATTGCATTAAAAACTATGGATAAAATGACAAAATAGAGATAGTTGGAATTATAAGGTGCTTGTCTGATTGGAAATATTTTTATGTTCCAGCCCCAGAAGGAAGTGGGATTGACCGCATTGTTACACTGAATGTCCTGCTTGRRTTTGAAGCTAAAAATTACAAAGATGTAAGTATTTTTGCAAGGCTGTCTTAACAATTTGCACCATAAATATGAAATATATTGATTTACCTAGATTGCTGTGGCTCAAAAGCTAGCTCCACATGAAGCAGAAGTATTAAAGTTATCTGATATGTCTGATTATCTTGTAAGAAGTTTTGGATGGTTAATTGTAAAAGGAGATGAAATGCATATMACAAATGGTAAGCCAAGAAAAAAACACTTTACATGGAGGAATATTATTATAATGCCATCGCAGGGTAATATAGTGTTGATGTGGGGATAGGTTAATACTGTACTTTGTTTCAGCTTTAGCCCTATAAAAACTGCAYAGACTAGTTATTACTTCATAATAYACTGACATGCTGATAACTCTTTTCACAGAATCCACTAGTGATCGTATATTGTACTTGGGGGTGTTTGTTACYATCCTCTTTGTCACATTAACAGCTGGACAACTGTTCTATTTACACAGATTTTTTTCTGCAAAAAAACTCATATAAAGATAACTCTTGTAAATATTTTAAGCATTATAAAACATGTTCTTTTTCACTGAAACTACAGATTCAAAATATTTTCAGGTAGATACTTAACTGAATTATATAAATCTAGACTTTCTGGGCTAAATAACTRATGAGTCCCCTAATGCCAACAAATAACTTTGAGGACTATTTTRCAAGCATCACTTATTTTCTCTTCTTGTCAAGTGAAACAGCAGCTGCTTATTTATTAATAAACAATTTTCATCTAAATGTCAATGCTCCCTTTAGACATCACTCATTGATTCACTCTTCAATTCACTCAATGTTCTCAATAATAAGCACAAAGATGCTTATTTATTCCTKTTGATGCTAGTTTGCATCCTTCAGATTTTGGTMAAAGAAAATCTTATCTTCCACTGATAAAATTTTGGCATAAAAATTGCTCACCCATGGAAAATAATAATGATATTGGTACAAAATTATTGCTTTAATTGTTCATGASAGTTGGGATATACAAATGTATTTATCTATTGGGTTTATACAAATGAGTAAGAATATATTTTATTTTAATAAGCTATTATTATATTGCTAAACTTTTTGACCTTTTTGAAAGACACACCATTACAAACATACCATTAAAACATACTATTATCTTAAGTAAACTTAAAATTATTTTACATTTTACAATTAAACTATTGCTTGAGTCAATACCAGTTACCATTAACATCTCTCTACTGTCTTGCAAAAACTGCATCTCCAACTTTAATGATTCCCTGTTTGTCAGCAATTCCTTCAACTCCAAAGAATGGTGAGTCACCAAATCGTTTATCTCTGTTTTCAGGCATCCTTGTTCTGGAATATTAAGAATAGAATCAGACAAGTTGCATCTTTTGATATTTTTTTGTTAATCAAGTTTACCTTTTTAATGTCTCCAAAGGTTCTTTTCCAGTTTTTTCTCCAAGATCTGGATCTATTGTAGTCATAACACACCTACAATATYACAAATTATGAAAATTTTAGCAATAATTACTAATTTCTATTATAGAAAGCCAAATGGAGCTCTACAAATAACATATTATATAGCATGTTAACACTAGACCACATCACTCATGAAAGATGAAAYAAACCACATATTTTCACCTTATAATGGCTTAATCTCTGACTTACCTGGCACAGTTCTTATAGCATCTTATTCTGACATCATTGATCTTRAGCTCTTTCCAATTATCCTGAAGTATTCAAATAATCTATTGTTCATTCAGAGTTCAAGAAAGTTAGCCATTCTCCAAACAAAGCTAGGAGCAATACAATGTCTGTACCTCATCAAATGTCTTGGTTCCTTTTACAATTATGTTTGGTCTGAAACGTCTCATACTAACAGCTGTCTCCAGTTCATTATTCAAAGCTGAAAGTGCTTCTTCAGTTGTTATCATCAATGGTGARAAGTCTGCAAACCCRTGCTAGAGAGGTAACAAAGTTACACAACTTTGGATTAGCTATTGCTACATTACTTCACAGAGCAGACCTGAACCAATAGCAGTCTGTTGTAATGCTATGTGCGTGTCTTTGTCAATGCTTAAATGTCATGTTTTGATATTAGCGCATGTTAGGTCTTGCAGTTTTGTGGTCCAGCCTACCTTGTCATCAGGTTTCACAATATCGCCCCATATTTCATCATTTGCAATATATCGAGGCTTTGTCATGTGATAAAGTTGGTAGCCAGGTTTGTTGAGATACTTGGCTATCCATTCAGCRGCCTCATCACCTGCATATTGCACTTCTGCCATAAGACCATAGACACTGATAAAAAATTAAATCCATTTTGAATACTTTCCTCTGATCTCARCTATTTTTTTATGGTTATGAATAATGATGATTATGGTTTAATTGTGGTAAAAGTAAAATACTAAAAATACCTTATGTCCTTGATGGTGGTATTAACAAGAGGCATTTTAATCGTTAATGTGTCCATGTTTGGTGCATTCAAGGAAAGGCTTTCAAGTTCACCGCTACTGGTAGTTTGCAGAGTTGGTGTTACCAGCTGTAGTTTTGGCTTCTCACGTGCAGTAACAAGTCTGTCTTTTTCATTAAGGATAATCCATCTCCTGGAAGTAATCATGATTTATATTGATGCAATTAAAACAGTATTGTTGAAATTGAAGCTTGAGAAACAAGCTAATGCAGACATTGTAAGGAACATGTTCGACAGGTGGGGGATAATGTTGGAGATTTTCTGGTAAAATTTTAGAAGCCTTAGATAGGGTCCGCAGAGTGTGAATTTGTTTGGGGGGGAGGGGAGGGGAGGTTAGTGGCGAGGAGGTACTAGGGATTTTCAGAAATTGTTGAAATGTTAACTCTTGTAAATGTCATTTCCAGTGTTTGAGGCGTTATCTAAGACATATTTACTGCACACACAGTCAGCGATATTATCAATAAAATCCCMAAAAAGCTTCAATTTTAATTATTCACGCTCAGTTTTTACACAATTTTTATAGAATATATATGGTGAAATTTCATAAGGAGGCTCTTCACTTCTTTATTTAAGAAAATTCAAAATGTTGGAAAAATTATTGGGAGGGGGGATGAAACCTCCCAGCCCCCCCTGCTCTGCGGTCCTTGAAGAGTTCGAAAAACAGTACTAACAGTTAAAAGTTTGCAATTATTGGATAATTGTTTTAAAGCTTCGATAAAGAACAGATCAAGAAAAAATTTATTAAAAAAATCTCAGCGCGCGCAAAAAGTTCCTTTGCTTCCATATTCATTTTGTAAAAGAATAACTTGTTTTAGTCATTTTTTCAMTGAAAATTTATCAAKTAATCGCAAGTTCAAACCTTAGAATTACGGGYCTAGTAACCTTACCTATCATGCAACAAGCCTTCATCAAGGCACAAGGCGGAGGATAGTGGTACCCCTTTACAAGACTTTACCGGGTATATGTAAAGCCCCGTTACTTGACCTGACGGATAGAATTCCTTCCTTTGCTTTCTTCTCCAATACATAAATGCTGCAATAGATACCGCTACAGCAGACACAGAGATTGCAAGGTACTTTGAATAGCTCATATTTGCCCACCAAAACACTCTCATCTATTATCAACCTTTCCTTTGCCAGTGGATCGCATGCGCATAAAATTTGCGCTTATTACACAGTAACCCCACAAAACATAATTCGCTGATGGTTTCAAAATATAACTTTAGAAAAAATTCTGATGAAATACAACATTTCAAATTGAGCATCGTTTTGAAAACATTATATTGATATACTAATACTTTGAACTTAAAAAAAATAAAAAAAAACAATACACTTATAGTACACAGGAACCCCAAAGGTGGTAGTTTCACTTTTACTTTCCTTTTCAAAGAAGTACCATGTTTAACCATAGTAGTATTGSCGGTCGTTTGTGATAGTAGGCTTCCGCGGAAATGGATATATTTGAGTGACGAATTTGAAGTTTTTCAATGTTATTTGAAAGTCATGGACACAGAAAAAGATCAACATCCAGCAAAGAGACTCAAACTAGATGACTGTGGTTCGTGCCATGAACATAAGCTTAAACTTCTTTGCAATCGAGTCTGAACTATATGTTTATATAATTTTATAGTTTATATTTTTATATAAACTGTCTTTATGTCATATTCAGGCTTAAAAGAAACCGGATTAGATACAGCAAAAATCCAAAAACCGGTTGCTGTTCTCGCAGAAAAATACACACGCCGAGTAGACACTGGTAATAAGTCTACAGTTGTAAAGATACAAAATCCCATAAAAAAAACATGAATTGTTTTTGTTTTCTTGACATAGTCCCAATCTACGTCGCAGATCTTCAAAATCCAAAACTTGCTTCAAAATGCCTCAGGTAAGCTTAAGTCTAAAATCCAATAAACTTACAGACGTATTCATCTAATACTAATTCACAAACCTTAAGATATTTAAGGGAAAGATATCCACTAGAAGATCTTCAGCATCTCAAGAGAGTCAGACGAAAGAAATTCGAAGAAAAAGGTAAGAATTGAATTATTAATTGATTTTGACATTAAATACAAGATAATAACCATTTTCATACATGAATTCCCATATGGTCTAGCGGTTAGGATTCCTGGCTTTCACCCAGGCGGCCCGGGTTCGACTCCCGGTATGGGAACTTCGTAAATTTTTTTCTTTTTCTTTTTTTCCCCACATATCATAATTTTTCTTTTTCTTTTGTTTAAGGTGAAGTTTTACAAATTTTATTAACAAAACCACCGAATGATACAAACGTTAATRTATCAGACTTAGTMCTGCTACCAGAAATTAGGAAAGAACTGGGACAGCCTTATATAATACATGTTCCYAAACATTTGCCTYTGACAAGGCAACAGTTTAAYGAGGCTTCAAAGATGTGGCCAACAAATTTCCACGAAGACAAATAGTAAGATAAATATTTGTTATTATTAATGTCATTTTTACAATTACTAATTATTTATCCCAAGATAAGGGTTACCTATGCCTGGTAGTGTGAAGGATGRATTTAGTTTTCCAAGAAATAATAGYAATAATCCAGTAACCCAATTTTGTATTTTATCAACCAGAAAAAGATGYATGAAGTTCCATTTGCCCTTTGCACAACTGTCCCMACTGTAAGGATCTACTCTCTGGTTTTGATACAAAATAAGTAAAGTAACTTTTTGTCTTTAGCATTGCTAAGATGATATCTGGTGAAGTATTCAGCGATGATGATACTAAACAAATAAACAAATACATGTCTCTAGCTATAAATGCAGCACAAAATGGGAAAAGTAAAGGGATGGTAAGAGAAAATGTTATAATGACTGTCATACAAACACTGGTCAATAGACATGATTGTAAAACAGTCCCATGTGAGCCAAAGTTCTTATATGTCACTATTGCTGTTATCATCATGATGGTCATCATCATCATCATCATATATTTTCTTAATGTAATAGATTCCAATAGGAGCTGCCATAGTTGATCCAACAAAGGGAAATGTTATTGCAATTGCTCATGACTTACGTCGTCAAGGCAACCCTCTACAACATGCAATCATGGCTGTTATTGACTTAGTAGCACAAGACCAGTCAGGAGGAGCTTGGRRACTAGGAAATCARCAAGGTGATGGTATATGGGTATTGCAGGATAACAGTACTAATCAACCAATGATGGACRTCAATTCAGATCAAACTGGTGCTACAACAGAGTCAGGTGATGGTGYAGAAAAAWTAAAGAATGTGACAAAAACAGACAAGACTGGGCCTTATCTATGCACAGGATACGACTTATATGTCACTAGAGAACCTTGTATCATGTAAGCTAACATACTTCATTTTCACTTATATGYAGCTGTCCATTTCTTCTGTTCATCCATTCATTCAATTCTTTTTTTAGGTGTGCGATGGCTCTTGTCCATTCTCGAATTAGGAGGGTATTTTATGGATGTGAGGACCAGGCTATAGGTGCCTTAGGCAGTAAATACAGCCTTCATGTACAACATGGACTTAATCATCATTATGAGGTCTTTACTGGAGTATTACAAGAACAATGCCAACAACTTATGCCATTTTTTGATTAAAAAAATGTAATGTACGCTTACCCATAAGAGCAAAAATTATGATCAATGTTTAATATTTAATTTGTCCCGTTATTTAGAGTTGATTGTTAGTAATTCCATGTGGTCAGTCACCCGTTGAAATAATTTATGCAAATCCAGTTTATGGATATTGGCTTTTTTGACGTCATCAAGCATATTTCGATTTCTCCTTGACAAAGTAAAGACGTGGATGGCTTGAAGAAAGCCACATTACGGCTTTCATGCGATCTTCTTAYARCCTGTGAGCATTTCTAAACCAGTTTTCATACATTTGGTGCATTGCTATCGCGGTCAGTTTGTTACTATCGCGAAGGAAGGACTTACCTCGTCGAAATGAACAAATTAGGACTGGTAACTTTCGCTGTCTTGTTCTTCTGTGTTGACTTTATGCCACTGAAGGATATTGCGAAACACTTTATAGTGAAACGAAGTGACAATAGTACAGCCGATGGTAACTCATCAATGCCATGTAATGAAACACTTGGTAACTGCAATAAYCTAACTTCAAACAACTTCACAAAGAGAGAAAATCTTACAACCTCTGTGAACATCACTGGGGGGAGAATAAATTTGACAGAGCTGTGTCAACACAACGTAACGTGGAATGTACATTGCAATGGCAGCTTGGTGAACCTAACTGAACACTGCAATAACGCAAGTGTGAATAGTATTGTGTTGCATTGTGTTAATGAATCTAGTAAYGTATCGTTATCGACCAGTAACGATACAGTATCTACACCAAATGCAACACTCAACTCGTCTTTGACAGTCAACTCTACCATTACYAACATAACTGCTGTGAACGGTACCTTTACCTTATCTCCTACAAATGCATCAACAACACTGACACCAAGTTTGTCCAGAGCACCTTCTACTTCTATTGTMCAAGCAACATCCATTACTCYAGYGGTATCAGCAATTACAAGCTCATCTGTACAAGTTACAATTTCGACAGTTGAGCCTTCATCAACATTAACTCTGATAACACARCAGTCAACTACTGCTACAACTATGAAAACAAYACCCAAGCCAACTACATCAACRACACCTCAATCTACAACACCTCAAACAACTACATCTCAATCAACTTCTACACCATCAACTACTTCGCAATCAACAACATCTAAGCCAACTGAACAAATTTYGACTACACATGAGATTACAACTAATGAACCCACAACAACAAAATCAACAACAACAAAGATAACCACAGAATCCGTGAAAGAAACACATACCAAGGAAACAACAAAAGAAGCAGCTACTGATGCATCAACTTCAACAGATGTTGTGACAAAAAGTAGGTTGATTTCTTTGTGAAGTCTGACAGRTTTTACTATGACCAGGATATCTCATTCTTTTCTATTCTTGTCTTTCAGTGGAAAATCCCTACAATAGTGCTAAGGTATGGTTGAAGTATTTTGATGTTTCCCTTCATTTGCCATGCTTTCTTGTCAGACTACATAATAACTGTAGCTASATAATTATGGTCTGATTCCAAGAACTACTAAGTACAGTGTCACATTGTAAGTATATTTTGCTTGTTTTGTAGAACATCAAGTTCTTCTACGTCAATGTGCTTATTCCAGTTGGTATTGGTGTTTGTGGTGCACTCTTGATTGCCTTTAGTGTTCTCTTGTTCAAGTGTTGCAGAAGAAACAAAGTCAAGAAAGTGAGATATTTTGGAAAGGTTGGTATTGCAGACTATACAGTTGTATAATCTTCTGTTGTGAATTTCTTGCCAAGATTTAACCCCTGGATTTCCAAGTCTATGTGTTACACATGATYTATCTTGCTAGAGTTTTTTCTGAATTTTCAATGTCAATTTGAATATTGTGTGATCACCATCTCTCCCTGGTTAATTTGTTACGTATTCCATCATGAATTACCATGTTTTCCTTACAATTCATAGCCAYGTGGTTACTCAAAGAACAATATGGATCACATGAACTTGCTGGCCAATTCAAGTGATGAAGAGTAACTGTGTTAAGACTTGAAAACAAATTMTTGGAAGAAGACAACAAATCCTCTCTATGGTGGCTCCTGAGGGCTCAGTGGTTGACATATTGTTTGATAACGTGATGTTTTTCTAACATTTTTTACACTAGAACATGATTATCAATGATTACAGAAGTAGCTGAGAATACAGGATTCTTTAATTATTCTTTATATAAATATGTATATTTACCTAGAACATAATACATTTGAAGAATAAGAAACTATTTAAAATACTCTCTTTTAATATTTAAGGATTTTCATTAGCTAAAACTGACAACAACTGTATGTTAGCAATATCTTTAAAAAAAGGATGACTAGTAAGGTTAGTTTTCCACTGATGTARAATATTATCTTATTTAAATTACGCTGTTGTGACATTTTCTTTGTACAATCGTGCCTACAATACTTGATTTATTAGTTTATCCTTACTTTTCATGCTCAATAAACAAATTATTGTTGTTAGTTTATACATGTATTTTATTTTTTAGAATAAAGCTGTATTTGAAGCACTGATATGATCTGTTGTGAAAATGTTGAAATGAAAATGTTCAGACGYTAACAGATGGTTGAMAACAGRATGACTGTTTTGTGGGTTTACATAAATAATTTATCATAACCTCAAAGAGTGATCTTATACAAGAAAGGGAAAATAATCTGTGATTTTCAACTATCTTTATAAAGTTCATTTTGTGAGTAAAATGGAATCACACTAAACCCATGGAAAGGTACAGAACATGAAAAACGTTTGTARTAATTCTTTGATTCAATAAATGTTTACAAAAATAGCAATTTACTCCATAGCCTACCAGCCTGTGACTGACTATCTACAGTGATTCATATAAGTTCTGTAGAGTTCTTGGGATCGAACAGCTCWGCCAGACCCAAACTCTCCTCATTGTCCACTGTCTCTCTCTGTCTCTTTGGAAATTTAATAGCTGGAAGGTCCTTTATTTTGATTTCATCTTTGAATAGTTCTCCTAGTGGTTTCTAATTAAAAAAAGTAGAAAAAAATATTACATTCAACATCTTATAAGTATCTGTACTAATTATATTAAGTATCTGTACTAATTATAAGTACTGCGGTATCTGTACTAACTATATAAGTATMTGTACTAATTATATAAGTATCTGTACTAATTATTACCACATGTACCATGTGA